AGAAACTCCCTCTGCCTCCTGAGAATTCACTCTGTGCAGAGGGCAAACAAAGACATAAAATGACACCTAAGCACCAACTCAGGGTTAGACTTGAAGGGAATGGAATTAGAGAAATAAAAAGACAGTAGCCACACCTGGATTTAGGGTACCACACCCTCCCTGCCCAAACAGGGTTGGCCACGGAGGGTGGCAAAACCAGAATGAAATCCATGCATCAGCACGACTCCCCAGTGTAAGCAAGACTCCTAGTTCCTCTCAGTGAGACTCAGTATTAGCCTCAGTCACTTTACCCAGAAAACCAATCTTCCTATCAAAAGTTGGAAATTTCTGGGTAGGGAGTTCCTTCCTCCCATGTATACTTCACCCCTTACTTTTGCACCCTTCCCCTGGAAGAGTTAAGGGAGTCAGAGAAAGAAGAAATCAAAAACATTTCTCTCCAGCTGCCACTTTTGGTTAAAATGTGCCCCGTGTTTATGAATCCGGCCATGTGTAACTAACTCTCTGATCGCTGGCCAAGTGGGCACCAGGGTAACTTGGCAGAATTGAGCCCAGTCGAGTATAGAGAAAGCTGTAGTCCAGAGCCAAAGCAAAAATGGTTAGTATTTGAAGTCAAATAGAGTTTAAAGCTCACATACTCAGACATTATGAATTATACCTTCCCAGCCCAAAGTCAAGCAGGGAGTGACCAGGGAGACTTGCTCTCCTGCCCAGGTTGATAGCCCTGGTTGGTCCTGCCTTCTGTCTTCCATTCTTCCGCCTCATGCTCCTGTCTCAAGGAGTGGCTGAGCAGTGGTGGGGTCTGGGTACCCTTAGGCTTCCCTTCTGCTTATAGCATGTCCCCTGGGCTGAAACTGTCACTCCTACCACTTCCTCTGGGATCGCTGCATCATTTCTCCAATAGCAGAAACACTTGGATAGATATGCATGTGTTTCTAATATTCAATTTTAAAAAAATTTACAAAGTTTAAATATGGGGCCCGGCGCGGTGGCGCAAGTGGTTAAAGGTCCTCGCCTTGCATGTCCAGGATCCCATATGGGCTCCGGTTCTAATCCCGGCAGCCCCGCTTCCTTTCCAGCTCCCTGCCTGTGGCCTGGGAAAGCAGTCGAGGACGGCCCAAAGCTTTGGGAACCTGCACCCGTGTGGGAGACCCGGAAGAGGCTCCTGGCTTCAGATCGGCATAGTATCGGCCCGTTGCGCTCACTTGGGGAGTGAATCATCGGATGGAAGATCTTCCTCTCTGTCTCTCCTCTCTGTATATCCGCCTTTCCAATGAAAAAATAATAAAAAAATAAATCTTTAAAAAAAACAAAAAAAACACAAAGTTTAAATATGATGAAAATAATAATGATTTAAAAAAATTTTTTAATTTACTTTTATTGCAAAATCAAATATACAGAGAGGAAGGTCTTCTGTCCAATAGTTCACTCCATAAGCAGCCGTAACGGCTGGAGCTGAGCCAATCCAAAGCCAGGAGCCAGGAGTCTCTTCCAGGTCTCCCACGTAGGTGCAGGGTCCCAAGGATTTGGGCTGTCCTTGACTGCTTTCCCAGGCCACAAGCAGGGAGCTGGATGGGAAGAGGGGCTGCTGGGATTAGAACTGTTGTGCATATGGGATCTTGGTGCGTTCAAGGCAAGGACGTTAGCCACTAGGCTACTGCTCTGAGCCCTTTTTACTTTTTTAATTTTTGCAAAAGATTTATTTACTTTTATTGGAAAGGCAAATTCACAGAGAGAAGGACACAGAGAAAGATCTCTCATCCACTGATTAACTCCCCAAATGGTTGTGATAGCCAGAGCTGAGCTGATCCAAAACCAGGAGCTTCTTCTGAGTTTCCACTGCAGGTGCAGAGTCCCCAGGTCAAAATCAGGGAACTGGAAGGAAAGTCGAGCAGCAGGAGCATGAACTAATGCTCCAATGGGATCCCAGCACATGCAAGGCAAGGACTTTAGCCACTAGGCTATCATGATGATCCCAAAAATAAATCTTTTTTTTTTTTATTGGAAAGGCGGATATACAGAGAGGAGAGACAGAGAGGAAGATCTTCCGTCCGATGATTCACGTCGATGTTATGCCAATCCGAAGCCAGGAGACTCTTCCAGGTCTCCCACGCGGGTGCAGGGTCCCAAAGCTTTGGGCCGTCCTTGACTGCTTTCCCGGGCCACAGGCAGGGAGCTGGAAGGGAAGCGGGGCTGCCGGGATAGAACCGGCGCCCATATGGGATCCTGGGCGTGCAAGGCGAGGACCTTAACCACTGCGCCACCGCGCTGGGCCCCCAAAAATAAATCTTAAAAAAAAAAAGAGAGAGAGCAAAGAAAGAATTCACTTGAAAGTGCAATGAGGCCAAGAGCTGTCATGTGCCAGGCCCATATTTTTGATATTTTAAAAGATTTATTTTACTTTCATTTGAAAAGTGTAGTTAAGAGTGGAGACATAGGGCCTGGCTCAGTGGCCTAGTGGCTAACATCTTCGCCTTGATCCCATATGGGTGCTGGTTCTAATCCTGGCAGCTCCACTTCCCATCCACTTCCCATCCAGCTTCCTTGACTTGGGAAGGCAGTCAAGGATGGCCCAAAGCCTTGGGACCTTGTACTCACGTGGGAGATCTGGAAGAAGCTCCTGGCTCCAGATCGGCACAGCACCAGCCGTCGTGGTCACTCGAGGAGTGAGTCTTTCTCTCTGTCTCTCCTCCTCTCTGTATATATGACTTTGTAATAAAAATAAATAAATCTTTATAAAATAATCAAAAATAAATTAAATTTATTATGAAAAAAAAGTTGGGTAAGGAGTTGAACCAGCATCTGTATGGGATGCTGGTGCCATAGGCAGAATCCTAGCCCACTATACCATTTCCAATATTTTTTATTAGACTATGTTCTTCTTTCTACTGTTGTTGAGAACTGACTAGAACAGTAGAGGACAAACTCCCCCAAAAAAAAAAAAAAGGGGAAGCAGACTCCCTGTGAGGTAGGTTCTAAGGTGATGTTACTAATGAACTTTTTTTCCTACAAAAAGCATGGCCAAATAGTGTTTCTCCGGTGCCAATGCTCAACAGATTGAAAGCAGTTTCACCTGCCAGGAGTCATCGCCCGGGCTCCCAGGACACAGAACCATCAAGTGCTGGCTTACTTCTACTTGCAGGAGAGTAGATGAGGTTATTCAAGGTTCTTTGAATTCCCTGTTTACTTTCCCATGTTACCTACCCAAGTGCCAAGAGGCCTCTGTCATCAGGCCACAGGTGTGTGATGGATGACCCAAGCAAAGTCACTTCAGAGAGCCCACATGCAACGCAGACAGAGGAAACCCGTTCAACCGTCTCACCAGACCCTCACTCGCCTGACTCCCCTTCCTCTAGTCCTCACCATGGGTACTCACCAGTGTCTCCTCTTCTTTGGTCACAATTCCCTGTGGGCCTTGGGAGGACCTACAGCCATTTTCTTAGTGGTATACCTCCTCCAAAGCCGGCTTGCCACTGCTGGCTGCACCTGTGCTTCAGACTGGCTAAAACCGGCCTGAGGCCGCCCACCCTTTGATCTTATCCTGCCCCTTCTAGAAATTCCCTGCCAGTTCTTCCCTCCCCACCCCCAACACCATAACTTTCAGTTACAGCTCTAGGCTTCCAGTGTTTTCTTCACACCCCCTACTCAAATGAAGGTTTTTTTTTTTTGTGGATGGGATTGTGCCTGGCATTCCTATAGCCTGAGGGAGTCCCAGCTCCAAATACAGCTTGGCACGAGCATAGGAGGGCAGGAACGGGGTCTCCTTGGTATTTTTTTTTTCCCTCGGAGGGCAGAGGCTGCTAGACAGGAGAATGAGGACTGCTGGGCCTCCTGGTTTGGGGCTTCTCCTTCTAGGAGGAGTATTTTCCTTGGGGAGTGAGGAGGGAGACTTAGGCAGTAGTGACCAGAGCACCTAACAGGGAGAACGCCTCCATAGCTGCCTCCTTCCCCGCTTGCGATCGCCCCTGTGTGGCAGCTCCTCTCCCTGACAGGGCAAGCCGCCCAGAGAGGTGGGGCCGCAAGCGGAATTGGGCAGGGGGCCGGATCATTGTGCCAGAGAGCGCCTGGCTGAAGTGTAGGGGCTCCTGGCACTCCCCAGGAACCCTGATGAGGCCTTCATTAGGGTCGCTAAGGGTTCCCCCAAAGTCCCTTGCTAAAAGCGGAACAGCTGGGGTGAAGACGAAAAACCCAAGCTCCAGGGATTCCTGCACTTGGTTGGCCGGTGTTTAGGAACAAGATAACCCCCTCATGCCTGGGATCGGGGAGCCCGGGAGGTCGTGGGGTCTGATTTCCCTCAGCTTAACCCGGCTGGATAGAGGCCCAGCGGGCCCCACTCTGAGCAGAGAAAAGGGTGCTTGGGCCCGGCGCAAGTGGTTAAGGTCCTCGCCTTGCACGTCCGGGATCCCATATGGGCGCCGGCTCTATCCCGGCAGCCCCGCTTCCCTTCCAGCTCCCTGCCTGTGGCCCGGTAGAGCAGTCGAGGACGGCCCAAAGCTTTGGGACCCTGCACCCGCGTGGGAGACCCGGACGAGTCTCCTGGCTTCGGATTGGCACAGCACCGGCCGTTGCGCTCACTTGGGGAGTGAATCATCGGACGGAAGATCTTCCTCTCTGTCTCTCCTCTCTGTATATCTGCCTTTCCAATAAAAAAATAATAAAAATAAATCTTAAAAAAAAAAGAAAGAAAAAGGTGCCTGACGAGGACTCCGCCTAACGTGTAGCCTAACGTGTAGCCTGCAGGGTAGAAGAAGGTGGAAGCCCTTCTGTCGGCTCAACATCCTCGGGGTACGATCTGCTCCTCCCGCCCCTCGACAACCCCGGCCTCCCCGTCGCCCCTGCCCCACAGCGCATGCGTAGGAGACAGGGCCCGGCGGGGGAGGGCGCGTCGAGAACTCGGCAGGGAGGCGCGGCGCAAGGTGGGGCCGGCGCGCGCACACGGGCGTGCGTACGTATGTACGTGCGTGGGCGCGTCCCAGAGCACGTTGTGCGTGGGGCGGATGTCCGGGCCGGCTGGGCCCGGGCCGCGGACGAGATGGCGGAAGGCGGAGGCTGCCGTGAGCGACCGGATGCCGAGACCCAGAAGTCCGAGCTCGGAGCCTTAATGAGGACCACGCTCCAAAGGGGGGCGCAGTGGTAAGCACCGGGTTGTGTCCTTCTGTCGCTCAGAACCAGGACGGGGGAGAGAGGGAGGGTGCTGCTGCTGAGGGGCAGGACCCCTTCTTCTCGACTTGTATAGAATTCGCGTGGGGGGCGGTGGTCCTTGGCCCTCTAAGAGTGACCTGACACCCGGCCCTTCGGGAGAGGAACCCCAGAATGGCTTCAGGGATCGCGCGCGTGGCCCTGGAAGTGGTTCTGGCCCTTTTTCGGAGGCTCAGGAGGGGGCGGGCCCGGCTGCTGCTCGTGGGCAACGTGGGGGAGAGCCCTCGTCCCCGAGTGGTCCGGCCCTCGCAGACCTCGCTTCCGTGGGCGGAGGCCAACATGGGAAGTTGGCACTTTGTAACTTGTGCACTGCCGGGAAGATGTGTCCAGGACTACGGCACGTCCAACCCCCCCCACCCCCCCGCCCGGAGCCCTAGATGCTTTTGACAGAATCGTGGCCAAGGCCTCTGCGTATGGAAGAAACAGTGGCCTAGATCCCACAGCTCAACAGCATGATGAAAAAGTTTAAGAGTTTTAAAAGAGCCCAGGCTGAGCTGGGAGGCTTCGGGATAGATTGTGGAATGTGAAGGGGGTGGGGGTAAGATCAGGGACTTTAAGGAAAAAAAAATGTGCCTGATTCTTAAAATTCCACTTTTTTTTTTTTCGTGAATGGACTGTGCGAAGCACCCTTAGACGTTCCACAAATAGACTCCTCGGTGGCGGTACTGTGTGGGAGGCAAAAACTCGATTTTGCCTTTGAATGTAATTGGGTGTCATCTGCCTTGAAGAAGGCAGCAGAGAAATGTTGGAGACAGAGAAAGAGCTTCCATTCGCTGGGTCATTTCCCAAACGTTGCTGTCCCCTGGAGCTGGTCCGGGAGATCCCAAGGACCTCCGCTGTCTTTTGCTAACATTCCCATGCGTGTTTGTAGGATGCTGAAGTGGAACAGGAGCATCCAGCTCTGAAACTGGTACTCCTCCACGGGATGCCAAGTCTCGAGCAGCCACTTGACTCGCTGTGCCACAATGCCAGCCCCATAACAGGGCTTTTCAATGTTGATCTGGAGCTCCCCAAGCTGTGACAGGCGAGGCAAGCATAAGGTGTTACATGAAGGCTGAGTAAGGTGTTACATGAAGGCTACTCAGCCGTAGTAGAGGAAGTTCTTAGATGGATTCAGATCATGTAGTGTACGAGCTGCAGGGGCTGAGGGAAGAGCATTGCAGAGATTGTCTGAGGCCTTTGGGGAGTGCATGATACCCTCTGAGGTTAACCTTAATATTGGAAGCACTCGCCAATGTACCTTTTTAATTTAATTTTTAAATTTGAAAAGCAAAAGGAGTAATGGACAGGGAAGGGTTTTTTTCCATGCATTGGTTTACACCACAAGTGACTGGATACCTGGCCACCTGGAAACCTGGGGCTGGTCCTGGCTGAAGACTGTAGCCCAGAACTGCATTGGGGTCTCCCACACAGATGGCAAGGACCCAGGCCTCTGGACCATCTTCCACTGCCTCCCCAGGAACATTAGGGAGCTGGTGTGAATGCAGGATAGCCGGGACTCAAACCGGTGCTCCGGCATGTGATGTTCAACGTCATATAGCAGCTTCACCTGTTGTACCACTGAGCTGGCCTCACCAGTACCATTGTTGCTGCTTTACAGAAATCAAACCCCGAATTCTCAAACCACCTAATGATTCATTTCAAATATAATCAGGTTAATTAAGCAGAAAAAAACATTAAATTGAATGTAAAATGCAGCTTAATAGTTTTTTGTTTGTTTTTATAGATTTACTTATTTTTATTGGAAAGGTAGATTTTTTACAGAGTAGGAAAGACAGATCTTTTATCCACTGTTTCCCTTTCCAAGTGGCTGCAGTGACTGGGGCTGAACTGACCTGAAGCCAGAAGCCAGGAGCTTCTTCCAGGTCGCCCATGAGGTGTAGAATTCCAAGGACTTAAGCCATCCTCCACTGCTTTCCCGGGCCGTAATACATTGCTGGATGGGAAGTGGAGCAGTTGGAACATGAACCAGTTCCCATATGAGATGTTTGGTTTGCAGGAGGAGGATTAGTCTGTTGAGCCATTGTGCTTGCCCTCAACTTAATATACTTTTTTAAAAAGATGTATTTATTTTTTATTGGAAAGGCAGATATACAGAGAGGAGAGACAGAGAGGAAGATCTTGTATCCGATGATTCACTTCCCAACTGGCCGCAACGGCTGGAGCTGAACCAATCTGAAGCCAGGAGACTCCTCTGGGTCTCCCACGCGGGTGCAGGGTCCCAAAGTCTTGGGCAGTCCGCCACTGCATTCCCAGACCACAAGCAGAGAGCTATATTGGAAGCAGGGCTGCCGGGATTAGAACCGGTGCCCATACGGAATCCCAGCGTGTTCAAGGTGAGGATCTTAACTGCTACACTATCATGCCGGGCCATTAACTTAGTATTTTTTGAGCACATGTTCTTTATCTGTGTGTGTGGATTGGTACACATGCAAGTGTTTGAACCTTTTTGGGTATCTAATTTGATCCTCAGAGGAAAGCTGAAGCGAATGATGTCATGATTCTATTTTCCTCAAGAAACTAATTTTATGCTGTACATGTTGAGCAAAAGTAGGGTAACCAGATTGGACAAGGACGTAACTTGTTTAAAGGCAAACATGATTTTATGCATTGCAAGACTCCATTTAAATAAGCATTTTAAAGTTAGTCGTTTCTCTATTATTTTCTGTTTTTCAACATTGATTTCACTTAGTGGATGCTTTCCCTGGGCCAGGCACTTGGTACTATATGGGACTAGCCTTGTTTCTGATCCTGAGAATTTTTTTTTTTTGTGGGAATTACTCGTTCCCAATGCACAAGACCATAAAAAAAGATTACAGAAGGGGCCAACATTGTGACGTGGCAGGGTAAGCTGCCTCCTACAATGCCAGTCTTCCATAGCAGAACGCTGGTTTGAGTCCTGACTGGTCGGCTATTGATCCAGCTCCCTGCTGATGCTCCTGGGATAGCAGCAGAAAACAGCCCAAGTACTTTGGGCCCCTGTCACCCATGTAAGAGACTTGGATGGAGTCCTTTTGGCCTGACCCAGCCCCAGTGTTGTGGCCATTTGGTGAGTGAGCCAGCTGCTGAACATCTCTGTCTCTCCCGCTGTCATTCTCTCAAATTCTACAAAATAAATAAATAAGGGGGCAGCTGCAAAAGCTTAACAGTGTTGGCTTTTCTGCTCCTGCCAATCTTTGTCTGTCTCTTAGGTATCTTATCGACAGTCGGTGGTTCAAGCAATGGAAGAAGTACGTGGGCTTCGATAGCTGGGATGTGTATAATGTGGGCGAGCATAACCTGTTTCCAGGCCCGATAGACAACTCTGGACTCTTCTCAGGTATAGTACTATGTACTTTTTTTTTTTTTAATTGGAAAGGCGGATATACAGAGAGGAGAGACAGAGAGGAAGATCTTCTGTCCGATGATTCACTCCCCAAGTGAGCGCAACGGCCGATGCTATGCCGATCCGAAGCCAGGAGTCTTCCCAGTGTCCCACGCGGGTGTAGGTTCCCAAAGCTTTGGGCCGTCCTCGACTGCTCTACCGGGCCACAGGCAGGGAGCTGGAAGGGAAGCGGGGCTGCCGGGATAGAGCCGGCGCCCATATGGGATCCTGGGCGTGCAAGGCGAGGACCTTAACCACTTGTGCCACTGCGCCGGGCCCCAGTACTGTGTGCTTTCTAAAAGCTCCCTGTTCCCGTGGGCATTGGCCCAAAGTCTTGTGTGTCTGTAACAGGGACACTCTGAATCAACCTTCCTGGCTTGATGATGCAGAAGCAAGTGTCCTCAGCTGGCATGTGATAAGCATGTCTTAGAGACCCTTAGGGTGAAATTAAGCTGCTTTTTTTTCCCCAAGTAACTTCTTCTAACCCTAGCAAGTTTTTGATGTTTTAAATCTCATTCTCTCTCTCTGCAAATTTGCTGTGGAATAGTATGTGGAGTGCTAAGAAGTAAGGTATCATTTTGAAACTGCATTTGAAATTTAGAGACCAGAAGTTTTGGTGGTTGTCTTAGTGTAGTATATTGAGACTGTGTTTGTTCTAGAAGTAGTGTGAAGAAAGCTCGGAGTTCAGTAGACAGTAGATATGCGGTCAACCCGCAGGGGAAACTGGCCCAAGTGATTCGTAGTTGAGTAGGGGGTGGCTTTTACCCACAGGTGGTTGAGGCAACACAGTCAGCCTATTAGTTAATGCTGCGCCTTGTTTGGCCTAACTCCACTTCTTGTAGGATGGGGTGAACAGTGCTGTGATGGGAACGAGATTGGGCTGTCTGCTTCACCTAGACCTTCAGCCCTCACGGTTGTAAATTGGTGGTGTGGTGATGTGGAGGAGTGGAGGCAGGCCCTTGGGTTGCTCATGAAAGCTGAGTTGGATCTTGTCTCTCTGTTTCCTGGCTTCGCAACTTATCCTTCTGTGTGTCTTGTGCTTCACTGCCCCGGCAGACCCCAGGCTAATGAAGCTGCCTGCCTTGGCCTGTAAGCCTCCACAGCCATGAACTGCAATCAGACTTCCTTTCTGTAATGAATACCTTCACCAGGTATTTAGCTGTGGGAATGTAAGCCTGACTAGTACAATCAGGAAGGTGGTTAAACATGAGGTTTGACCCACACACCTAAGATCAGCCTGGTAATTTTGAAATGTGAGCAGTGCTGCTGCAGTTCAGTCCTTGTGCTAGCAGAGGCTTAAATGGTACTAACCATTTCATTTGCTTTGTTTCTCGGTGTAGGTTAGAGAGTGTACTAGGCTCTCAGGAATTACATAGCTCTGTGTTCACACTTTGTTTTTTCCATCTTTAGTTAAAAGGGTTTTTTAAAGATTTATTTTTATAATGGAGGCAGATTTACAGAGACAAGGAGAGACTTTATTTATTTATTTAAGATATATGGAGAGGAGGAGTTACAGATAGAAATATCTTCTGTCCAGGCCCTATGCAGTAGCCTATTGGCTAAGGTCCTCAGCTTGCATGAGCCAGCATCCCATATGGGCACCAATTCATGTCTGGCGGCTCCACTTCCCATCCAGCTCCCTGCTTGTGGTCTGTGATAGCAGTAGAGGACAGCCCAAAACCTTGAGACCCTGCACCCATTCCTGAGACCCAGAAGAGGCTCCAGGTTCCTGGCTTTGGATCCTGCTCTGGTCATTGTGGCCACTTGGGGAGTGAACCAGCAGATGAAAGATCTTTCGGTCTCTCCTTTTCTCTGCAATGGCCTGAGTTGCTTCTCTGGGTCTCTCACATGGGTGCAGGGTCCCAAGGTCTTGGGCTGTCCTCTACTGCTTTCTCAGACCACAAACAAGAAGCTGGATGGAAAGTAGAGCAGGTGGGACACAGACTGGTGCCCATATGGGATCCTGGCACATGCAAGGTGAGGGTTTAACCACTGACCCATTGTACCAACCAGATGTATTTTTTTAATGATTCATTTGAGGGTGACAGGAAGAGACAGAGAAAGGCAGATTTTTATTTTTTGGTTCACGTGATTTTTTTTTTTTTTTTTAGCATGAATACGTTGGACAAATCTGGTTTCTTTTTATCAGAAAGAAAGATCTACTGAGAGAAAGATTTTCCAGTCACTGCTTCATTCCCTTAATGGCTGCAACAATGGAGCAGAGCTGGTCTGTGCCAGAAGCTGGGTGTTTCCTCCAGGTCTCCCATGTGGGTGTAGGGCCCATGAACTTGAGTCATTCTTTACTGCTTTCCCAGGCTACACACAGGGAGTTCAGTGGGAGTTAGGGCAGACTGGACACAAACTGGATATGCAGGAGTGACTGGACATGAGATGCTGGTGCTTGGAGGTGAAGGATTAGTCATTTGAGCCATCACACCGGCCCTGACAAGTCCAGTTTTGAGTGAATATAGTGACTTGGATCAAAATTTTCAGTTAGAAGTGGATATAGTGGATAAGATGCCAGTTAAGACCACGCACTTCGTGTGTCAGAGGACCTGGGCTTGGTATCTAGCTCCCGATTCCAGCATCCTACCTTAGCAGTGCCTGGATACAGCAGTGACAGTTCAGCTCGCTGGGGCTCTGCCTCTCATGTGGGAGACCCAGCTGCAGCCTGGCCTGGTCCCAGCCATTGTAGGTGTTTGGTGAGTGAACCAATAGATAGGAACTTGTCTGTCTCTAAAATAAGTCAATTAAATTGTCAGTTAAGCTTTCTGTACTTGATGTATAGTGTTGTAATAATGACATGTTTGGAAAAATTATCAGTGAAGGCCCTGCGTGATGGCTCAGTGGCTAAATCCTCACCTTGCACGCCCCAGGATCCCATATGGCACTGGTTTGTGTTCCAGCTGCTCCATTTTCCATCCAGCTCCCTGCTTGTGGCCTGGGAAAGCAGCTGAGGACGGCCCATAGCCTTGAGACCCTGTACCTGTGTGGGAGATCTGGAGGGAGTTCCTGGCTCCCTGCTTCAGATCGGCGCAGGTCCAGCCGTTGCGGCTGCTTGGAAAGTGAATCATCGGACGAAAGATCTTTCTCTGTCTCTCCTCTTCTCTGTATATCTGACTTTGCAATGAAAAATAAATAAATCTTTAACAAAAGAAAAAACAGTGGGTAAGGATGAAGAGATGTCAGGTCTGCTCTGTTATGGCCAGTGACAGAAATGTGGACTTTTATACTTGTCCGTTTATATGCTTCTCTTGTTTCAGAAAAATATGTGAGGATAATGGTTAAACAAATGAACAAATAAATCTGGGGGAAAAAGAACAATGGGTTATATGGTTATGTGCTGGGTTTTTTTTCCCCTCCAGATCCTGAGAGCCAGACCTTGAAGGAACACTTAATTGATGAGTTAGACTATGTGTTGGTTCCAACTGAGGCCTGGAATAAATTACTGAACTGGTATGGCTGTGTTGAAGGTCAGCAGCCCATTGTCAGAAAAGTGAGTACATGAACTGTCAAACAGTCTGCTTGGGGTCTGCAGCCACCCCCCAGAACTCTCTGGGATTGGTTTCCTGGGAGGATAAGTGCTTCAAAGGGCTGAGTCAAAGTGGTTGTGGACTTGGTTTGGGTTTATCATAAGGGAATTCTGATTGTGAATAATGATGGGAGAGGCTGCTCACCCAGCATGTTACTGGAGAGTGGCTTCAAGGCACCAGAGCTGCCCAGGGCCTTGGGAGGTGTCCAAGGTGGAGACATGTGATGTGCAGTAATACACTGCTCCATTGTTGTCATTCCTTTCCGATACCACCATTTTTGATTTAAGATGACCTCTTGACACCTTGCTGGGGGGCCTAGTGTGGCATGAAGCCCAGTGAGGAACACTCTGCTTTCCCCTAAGCAGTCCTCTGTGTCACCGGATGTGTGGGAGGAAAGTTGATTTTTTCTCTTTGAAAGATAATGCATGTATGTCAAGAGTTTCCACCGGCTGGTTCCTTTCCGACATTGCTTGGCAGTGACCAGTGCTGGGCCAAGGCTGCTGCTGGGAGCTGAGAATGCAGTCCAGATTTCCCACACATGTGGCACAGTACTTGAGCTATCACTGCTATCTCTCAAGTTCTGCATTAATAGGAAGCTGCACTTAGGGGCCAGAACTGGGAATCAAATGAGGTACTCTGATGTTGGAAATAATCATCATAACACTAAGCTAAGTGCTCATTCCCTGGAACAAGATTTTTTCTTTTTAAAGATGTATTCATTTTTGTTGCCAAGTCAGACATATATAGAGAGAGGAGGAGAGACCGAGAGGAAGATCCTCCATCCGATGGTTTAATCTCTAAGCGGCTGCAATGGCTGGCTCTGAGCCAGTCCGAAGCCAGGAGCCAGGAACTTCCTCCAGGTCTCCCACGTGGGTGCAGGGTCCCAAGGCTTTGGGCCGTCCCCAACTGCTCTCGTGAGGCCACCAGCAGGGAGCTGGATGGGAAGCGGGGCTTCCAGGATTAGAACCAGCGCCCACATGGGATCCTGGTGCACCAAGGTGAGGACCCTAGCCGCTAAGCTACTGTGCCAGGCCCCGAAACTCCTAGAACAGGTGCTGAAGGCTTTAAAACTTGGTGGTTTATTGGGAGATATTGAGGCTACCAGTTAAAATGCTGATCAAGGTGCCTCCTGTCACCTGCGTGTGGGCCCTTGAGTAATTTGCTAGCTCCAAGATTTGGTCTTGACACTAATCCTAATGATTATGGGCATTTGGAGAGTGAACCACTTGGCGGGAGCTATCTGTTCTTTTCCTTTATCCCCTTCCCAATTTCCCATCTCTCAAATTAAAAAAAAAAAAAAGTAAACTATTGCAAGAAACTGATCAGAAAGTGTCTACCTCTGCTACTGATGAAACATACTACTTCCAGTACTGCGCAGGTGCAGACCTGCTTCTACCTCTGCATTGATGTTGCCAGGTTGTGGAGCATGGCCTGTTTGTCAAGCACTGCAAAGTGGAGGTGTACTTGCTGGAACTGAAGTTGTGTGAAAACAGTGACCCCACCAATGTGCTCAGCTGCCATTTCAGCAAGGCAGACACCATTGGTGAGCAGCTGAGCTGGGATCCTGTGGGTGTGGTGAGAGACTGTGGGGCATTGCGGTGGGCAAAAGAGAAGTTAAAGAAAAAAAAGGTCACAAAAAAAAATCTCAGAAAGTGGCAAAACTGGCTTTTGAACCCGAGCTGTATAAATTCCAGGGGAAAGCTCTGTCTGTGTTGCTTCCGTGCTGTTAACTGGATCCATGTCTTTAGAGAAGCAACTTGGGGAAAGTTTTTGGGTGTGTGAGTGCCAGAGAGGAGGTCCCGGGAAGATGGCTGCCAAGTTCAGTTAGGACTTGGGATCCAAGGCCCTGATGCCTATGTATAAAGGAAGCAGCAGGACCTCGTTTGCTGTGGTTATCCTTGGCCTTGACCCTGGAGGACTCCTTGGGTTATGTTTCTGCCTGTCTGTAGCAACCATTGAGAAGGAGATGCGAAAGCTGTTCAACATCCCTGCGGAGCGTGAAACTCGACTCTGGAACAAGTACATGAGCAACACGTATGAGCAGTTGAGCAAGCTGGACAATACGGTCCAGGATGCCGGCCTCTACCAGGGTCAGGTAGGATGTCACAGGCTGAAACTCTGAGGGCACTCTGCTCGGGCTGTGTGATGGGACCTCTGCTCGGTGAGGTGGTTTGAGCTGTACTGTCCCCATATCCCCTTTCACCCAGGTGCTAGTCATTGAACCCCAGAATGAAGATGGCACGTGGCCCAGGCAGACCCTGCAATCCAAGTAAGTGAACCTCATCACCCTTGGGGCCGGGCTTTCTGCTGGAACTGAAACATGCTTTCCCAGGTCTTCTGTAAGAGTTGTTCTGAATCAGGCTAAACAAAACAAAATACAACAAAGCCACAAAAATCGTACTCAGTTTCTTTAATGTAGCATCTGCAGTCCTGATGGAGACCCTGGCCCTTGGTAAGCAGCACCTGGACTGTCATTTAAGGAAAACCTGCAGGAAGGAGGAGGTGCCAGCATCTGAGGAGGCTGCTCTGTCCAGAAGTGGCTTTGTTCTTGTCAAGCTCTTCTTTTCTCCTGCTGTACTTAGAGGCTTTTGTGGAAGAGGGCAGGGTTATTGTATGCTTTTTTTTCTTTTTAAGATTTATTTATTTTTATTGGAAAGATTTACAGAGAGACAGAAAGACCTTCCATCCAATGGTTCATTCCCCAAGTGGCTGCAATAATCAGAGCTGAGCCAATCTGAAGCCAGGAGCTTCTTCCAGGTCTTCCATGCGGGTGCAGGTCCCAAGGCTTTGGGCCATCCTCCACTGCTTTCCCAGGCCATAAGCAGGGAGCTGATTGGGAAGCGTGGCTGTCGGGACATGAACTGGATCCCCGGTATGTAAGGCAAGGGCTGTAGCCACTAGGCTACTACTTTAGATCCTCTTGTATGATTTAAAAGTGGGTTCTGTCCCACTCTTCTACTGAGTGGTCTGTTAATCATTGTTGCCTTTAGAACATCCTAGGAAAATTGTTCAGCCACTAACCTGGTTCTGTCTGAGGACATGTTCACCTAATCTGTTGGATTGTGCGTTTCTTAGGTTGGGGGACAAAGAGGTGATCCATTTTCCTTGTGACATAAGCTGGAGGAAATAGTACGTGTTCCAGTCCACAGAGGGACGGTGTTGGCCTCTGCTCTCTCCCCTCTCTGGGGCCTTGATCTGTGACCTCTACGCAGTGATAGGCTCACATCTTATTGGAAAACTGGGGAAACTATCAACTCTTCAGAAACACACACAAAGACACAGAACATTTTACAATTGTGAAAAAGGTTATACAGACCACTGACACCGAGATGTGGACTCTTGCTCAAGAAACCCCTTGGCCAGGTTTTTGGCTCAGTAACGTAGAAGATGCTTGGGATGGCTGTGCCAGTATCACTATGCCTGGCTTCAGTTTCAGCTGTGCTTCCCAGGCCAGTTTCTTGCTAACGAGCATTCTGAGAGTCAGCAGGAAAGCAGTGTGTTGAGGGAAGAATTACAGTGGCTGGAATACAGGCAGATGTTCACAGCATGTGGAGGTCCTTACAGCCTACATGAAGGGATGCATCTCTGCCAGCCCCTTATTTAACTCAGAGCCGTTCCAGTTCATGACCTCCTGAACTGTAGGTGATTTTTATCACCATAGGTAACTTGTGACAGCAGCAGTAGGAAAGTAATACACTGGGCAGTAAAGCCTCTTCCTGAAACTGGAAAAGTCGCACATGAGAGAGGAAACAAAAACTGGGAGCTTTCTCTTTTTCCCTGTCCCTTTTTTCTCTATCCCTCAGGCTGTACACCAGTCTCCTTAAGAGTCTGCTTGTCCAGAGCCAGCGGCAGCATGTGCCAGGGCAGAGGAGGGCTGTGTGTTATGCTGGCAGCATTGGTGCAGAGATGTCACAAAAGCCCACAGGATGCTGGTTGTGAAGATTTCTTTTTAATATTCATCCTTTTTGAAAGGTGGAGAAACAGGCATGTTCTGTGTACAGAGTAGCCAGGGCCGGACCAGGCTGAGAAGGTCCCGAAAATTTGAGCCGAAATCTTCTCAAGGTACACATTAGCAGGAAGCTGGACTTTTTCTTTTTAAGAGTTATTTTAATCGCAAAGGCAGATTTATAGAGAGGAGGATCTTCCATTCACTAGTTTACTCTTCATGTGGCTGCAATGGCTGGAGCTGAGCCGATCTGAAGCCAGGAGCCAGGAGGTTCTTCTGGGTCTCCCACATGAGTACAGAGTCCCAAGGCTTTGGGCTGTGCTTGACTACTTTCCCAGGCCACAAGCAGGATGAGTGGGGCTGCAAGTATACAACCTGGTACCCTAATGGGATCCTGGGGCATGCAAGGCAAGGATTTAGCCACTAGGCAGTCTAGGACGGCCCAAAGATTTGGTACCCTGCACCCACGTGGGAGACATGAAAGAACCTCCTGGCTTTGGCTCTAGCCGTTACAGCCACTTGGGGAATGCTCCAGTGAATGGAAGTCTTCCTCTCTTTCCTCCTTTCTGTGTATCTGCCTTTCCAATATATAAAATGAAATCTTTTTAAAGAGGGAGAGACAGAGTGAGAGATCCTCCATCTGCTGTTTCACTTCCCCTATGATCACATTACCTGCGTGTCGAAAGCCAGGAGCCAGGAGCCCAAGGACTTGGAGTCATCTGCTGCTGCTATCCCAGGGCAGGAAATAGAGCAATAGGTACTGAACCACAGGTACCCATATGGGAAGCTGACAACACAGGTAGTAGCTTTACCCACTACACCACAGTGTTGGCCCCTGGTGTAACTTATGAGGGCTTGACCTTTCTGTAGAGGACAGATTGGTGGAATGGGAACTGTCTCGGGAGAAGGGTGCTGGGGGTCCTCTGGCTTGGCCAGCGGGTTGTTTCACAGGTGTGGTACCTGCTTTTAGATGGTATGAGACCCAGTTGCAACTGAGAGCATGTTTCATGAATTAATATATGTGGAAATAGCAAATCCAAGAGTCTGAAAGTTAGTGAACCCCAAGTTTGAAAGAAATATAATTTGCTTTTGGCAAATTTGACGAGAAAAAAGAATGGCATAGAGGACCCAAATCTTGCTTAATAGCTAGGTTTTCAATTTGCATCACATTATTGGGGAAACTTTTTCCTACTGCTCTTTTCCTATACCTTTTTTTCTGGTAACTTTAAAAGTTAGCATGGTAGCTTAGTGACTAAAGTCCTTGCTTTGCATGTACCAGGATCCCATATGGTCACTGGTTCGTGTCCTGGCTGCTCTATTTCCTATCTAGCTCCCTGCTTGTGGCCTGGGAAACAGTAGAGGACTGGCCAAAGCCTTGAGACCCTGCACCTACATGAGAGACCCAGAAGAACCTCCTGGCTCCTGGCTTCAGATCAGCTCAGCTCTGGCTGTTGCAGCCACTTAGGGAGTGAACCAGCAGATAGAACATCTTCCTCTCTGTGTCTCCTCTCTATAAATTTGTCTTTCCAATAAAAATTAATCTTTAAAGAAATGATTTTATAGTTCATGTATCCCTTGTCTATCACATTGGAAGATACAGTGTATGACCATGTGGTCTAATGAGCCAGGAAGACCAATTAATTTCTTTGCTGTCACTCAAGCTTTTCTTTTTCTCCTAATTTTTTTTTTTTTCATAATGTTTTGAGAAGCAGAGACACCTTCTGTCTGCTGGCTTATTTCTCCAAATATTTGGGAGCAGGAGTTCAAATCCATGTCTCCCACATGGGTGGTAGGAGCCCAAGTATTTGTGCCATCATCTGTTGCCTCCCAGAGTGAACCTTTCAGGGAGGTGAATTCTGAATTGGGAGCAGAGCAGAGCTGGGACTCATGTCACGGTGTTCTGACAGGGGATGTAGATATCTCAAATCCCAGAAGCATCTGTTTTGTTTTTTAAATATTTATTTATTTGAAAGGCAAAGAGAGAGACACACACTCACACCCCCCCTTCCATCTGGATGCTAGTTCATTGAATATTTATTTGAAAGGCAAAGGGAGAGACACACGCACACACCCCTCTTTCCATCTGGCCTGGGCTAAGATGGGCTGGCACTCCGTCTACGTCTCAGTTCTTTGGGCAAGCCTCTCCTGTTCCCCAGGTGCATTAGCAGACATTTAAATTGGATACTGCAGGCAGGACAAGATTTGGCACCCTGTTTGGGGATGCTTGTGTCCCAAACTGCGGCATGAGTTTCTGTGCCACAGCACTGGACTTTTAGTTTTTCTGGAATGACCATGGAAAATGTGTTTCTTGAGAAATTACCTAAGGCATAAAGTAGGACCCAATTTTCTGCAAAAAAAAAAAAAAAAAGAGTAGTAGCGTTGTTTCTGCTTCTCTTCCCTAGATCAAGCACTGCACCTAGCAGAAATTTTACTACCTCTCCAAAATCATCAGCAAGTCCCTATTCCTCAATGTCTGCCTCTCCCATTGCAAATGGTGATAGCACTAACACCTCTGGGATGCACGGTTCCGGTGTCAGCAGGGGGTAAGAGGGGAGGACCTTTCCTTTTGCTTCCTTTTGCAGCGGATACCCGGGAGCTTACTTGCTGCTCTGCAAAGTGTGGTTGGATTAGAGTTCCCCAGGGCAGTATGCTGCATGTGGCTTCTCCCTTAGTTTCCTGCCTACAGTGAAGTGTGCCTCTCTAGTCCTGACTCCCATGGCTTGTCTTCCTGCAAACTGGTGTCTTCTGTGCAGATTTAATCATTAGTGGTCTCAGACGTCACTGCCTTTGTTTGTGAAGGGCTAGGCTGACCAGTTTGGTGAAATGCTTGTAGGGGGCTGTTTGCACTCGTGAGAGCCGTGCCAATTCCTCCTCTGGGTGGCTGTGATTCTTTCTGCAAGCTTTCCTGGAATAACTGCCATGCACTGTAGACAGAGTAGCTGAGGAGAGGGATGTGGCGTGAATGCTTGGGAACCCTCAGGCCCAGGCAGGGTTGGCTGTGGCCTGCTGGACATTGCTGGCTGCAGCGGTCTGGTAGGCAGTGGTGACTGCAGCATCTTATTTTTTCTCTGCCATCACTTGGCAGTCAACCTGCAGGAAGAAAGGATGTAAAGCGAGCATTTGCCAATCCTGAGAGAGGAAAAATCAAATAGTGTTTTTCTCCTTAAGGTGTTTATACCTGCTAGCTTAGCAAGTCAGGGTGGGCTAGGAGAGCAGAAGCACCAGGAGGACTAGCATGAGAGGTGGGAGGTATGCAGCATGCAGTCTGAACCAGACATGAGCTTGAGGAGCCCTAAAAGTTGTATGTAGGATGGGTGTGCAGCATTCATCTGGATTGTGTTTTCTAGTGGCTCTGGCTTTTCAGCTTCCTACAACTGCCAGGAGCCTCCATCATCTCACATCCAGCCTGGCCTCTGTGGACTTGGGAACCTGGGGAACACCTGCTTTATGAACTCCGCTCTGCAGGTAAAGGGAAATAAATAAACCCTAAATAAAACCCTGCTTTGGGCTGCTGAAGTGCTGAGTGGGTCCTCTCCCAGGGGTTACTGTCTCCCTCTCGTCCAGTGGTCACCATCAAGACACCTCCCATTGATTGGCTCAGAATGGTTCTCAGTGTTTGTGTTGGCAGCCATGTCTTCCTGCTTAGGTTGGTGTGTGGTTTCCTCAGAGTTTTGAGTTTTGTTGACCATTAGGCTGTGAAATCCTTAGAAAGTATGGGATTATGTGCCTGCTTTGGTATCTTAAGAGTTGATGTGAACTTAAAGGAGTTGGTGCTAACCCAAGTTGTGCTTTGTTGACTGCTGATCATCCTATAAGGATAATGACCTAACCTCACACTTCTTACTGGAAAAAGTTCTAGTTTCCCCCTTGGTGTCCCGTTAATTCATCAGGCATTTATTGACTACGTAACATGTGAGGCCTTTGATAGACTAGGATCTAACTGCAAAGTTAAGAAGACACATTGTCAAGACTGACTGCCCATTTTTTTCTTTTTAAGATTTATTTATTTTTATGGAAGGGTAGATTTACAGATAGAAGAAGAAAAAGAAAGATCTTCCATCTGAGGTTCACTCCTCAAGTGGCCACAACAGCTGGAGCAGAGCCAATCTGAAGCCAGAAACCAGAAACTTCTTCCAGGCCTCCCAAGCAAGGGCAGGGCCTCAAGGCTTTAGGCCCTCTTCTATGGCTCTCCCAGGCCACAAGCAGGGAGCTGGATAGGAAGTGGAGCATCCCAGGACATGAACTAGCACCCATTTGATATCCCAGCACTCGGAGGTGGATTAATCAATTGAGCTGTTGCACCAGGTCTCTTGGGTTATCTTTGGCTGCTTTCTTAGACACATTAATGGAGCTGAGTCAGAGGTGGAATAGCCAGGACTGTCACATATGTGAGATGCCAGGACTATAGGTGGAGGCCCAAACCACTATTCCACTGTGCCAACCCCATGAAAGGTTCAAATTTCCCAGTCCTTTCTATTAAAAAGAGGGCATTAAATAAACATTTAGCTTTTCCTCTCCAGTAGCCGATTTCAAGGATAAGTGTGAGGCAGTGTATTGAGCTCTTCAAAGATCATGATCATAGAAGCTTAGTACAGAGGTGGTCTTTTACCTTGCGCTCCGCGGAGCAGTTCCTCACTGCTGGGAATCTTACCAGCATCTGTTAGGGACTCCTTGATTTTGAGGTTGTCTGTCTTGGTGCTTCAATTTGTTCGTGTGTGTGTGTGTGTGTGTGTGTGTGTGTGTGTGTGTGTGTGTGTACGTGGGCGGTCAGGAAGAGTCTCAGCTCCGATCTTTTTCTCTTCCAGTGCCTAAGCAACACTGCCCCGCTGACTGACTACTTTCTCAAAGATGAATACGAGGCTGAAATCAACAGAGACAACCCTCTTGGGATGAAAGGGGAGATTGCAGAGGCCTATGCAGAGCTCATTAAGCAGATGTGGTCGGGGAGGGACACTCATGTGGCACCTCGCATGTTCAAAGTAGGTGGAGAACCATACTTCCTTTTTTTCTTGTGTTGGGGATAGTGGTTTAGTGTTGTAATGAGACGTTCCTTTACTTGCACAGAGAGTAAGATGGAAACTGCAAAAATGTGTGACATTGTCATACCCTTTTATTCTGTTCATCATTTTGAGTACACTGTCTGATTTTTGAGATTTACTATTTGAAACACCAGAGTTAGAAGAAGAAACAGTGCTCGCTTTGGCAGCAGATATGCTAAAATTAGAGGAAGAAACAGAGGAGTGATCTGTCTGTTGGTTTGCTCCCTACATGACTACAAAGGGCAAGCCTGGGCCAGGTCACAACCAGGAGCTCCTGAGTCTTCCACTTGGGTACAGGGTCCAAGAACTTGGGCTATATCCTGCTGTTTTCCCAGGTGCATTAGCAGGGAACTAGATGGGAAACACAGCAGCTGGAACTCCAACCAGGACCTGTGTGGGATGCCATCTTGGCAGGTGTTGGCTTATCTTCCAGTGCCACCATGCCTGCCCTATCCCAATGACATCTTAGCACTGTGCATTTGTTTGGGAGGTAGAGAGGGCAACCAGTAGACAGTGCTTCCATTTACTGATTCTCTCCCAGAAATATCTGGTGGCTGGAGCTTGGTCAGGGCTGGAGTCAGGAAAGCAGCCCAGGCATTCCGTTGTATAACCTGGGCATCTCAAACGTCAGGTTGAATGTGCACTCCACAGGGCTGTTTTTGATGACAGTTTCCCTTCTGACTTTGCTGTTTTTGTATACAGCATGCCTTCTGATGTAGTTGTTTTTGTTGCAGACCCAAGTGGGACGCTTTGCTCCTCAGTTTTCTGGTTACCAGCAACAAGACTCTCAGGAGCTGTTAGCCTTTCTCCTGGATGGCTTACACGAAGATCTCAACCGAGTGAAGAAGAAGCCCTACTTGGAGCTCAGGGATGCCAATGGGCGACCCGATGCGGTATGGTTCCCATGGCATCTGAGTGCAGGATCTCAAGGCAGTGCAGGGGTGTGCTGGGGGTAGCTGAGTGGGCAACAAGGCCCTGGGAGTCTGGTGCTGTTGTGAGTGACAACGGCATGGCCTCTAGGTACGAAATATATCCCAGGTTAGAAAGAGACTAACCCTCATTACTTTTAACAATCCCTGATGAGCTTCAAATTAATGTTTGCTACTTAGTCTTTGATTGTCAAACCAGAGGCTTAGGATGTTCTGAAAGCACTAGTGTGCATACTTTGTACTGTTACTGCTCCCGTTCAAATCCATTGGCTTACTTGTATTTTAAGATTCATATATTATCTGAACAGCAGAATTATATATAGAAAAATAGGGAGATCTTTGATCTACTCTTGACTCCCAAATGGCTGGCACTATTGGGACTATACCAGGCAGCAGCCAGGAGCCAGAAACGTGTGCATCTCCCACGTGGATGGCAGGAGCACACGGACTCTTCCACTGCTTTCCCCAGGGCCATTAGCAGAGCACTGGAGCAGTGCAACTGGGCCTCAAACTGGTACCTCTATAGGGTGCTGGCACTGTGAATGGTGGTTTAACTTACAGCATCACAGCACCAACCCCCATTCTTTTTCTTTTTTCTTTCTTTCTTTTTTTTTTTAAGAATTTATTTCCATTAGAAAGGCAAATGCACATAGAGAAGGAGACACAGAGAGAAAGATCTTCCACCTGCTGGTTCACTTCCCAAGTGGCCACAATGGCCAGAACTGAGCCAATTGGAAGCCGAAGTAAGGAGCCAGCAGCCTTCTCTGGGCCTCATACATGGGTGCAAGGCCCCAAGGCCCCAAGGCCTTGGACCATCCTCCATCACCCTCCAGGCCACAGAAAGCAGGGAACTGGAAGCAAAGTGGAGCAGCCAGTACACAAATTGGCATCCATATGGGGTCCTGACATGTACAAGGCGAGGACTCAATTGTGAGCCATTGCATTGGACCCCGTCCACTAATTTTTTTTTTGTAAGATTAATTTTTTTTTTATTGGAAAGACAGATATACAGAGAAAAGGAGATATAGAAAGAAAGATCTTCCATATGCTGGTTCCCTCCCCGAGTGGCTGCACTGGCTGGAGCTGAACCAATCCAAAACCAGGAGCCAGGAGCTTCCTCTGGGTTTCCCATGAGGGTGCATGATCCCAAGGCTTTGAGCCATCCTCTGCTGCTTTCCCAGGCCATGAGCAGGGAGTTGGAAGAGAAGTGGAGCAGCCAGGACACAAACTGGAACCCATATGTGATTCCTGCGCATGTAAAACAAGGATTTATTTACTAGGTTATTGTGCTGACTACTGACTAGCCCCTACTCGAAGGAGAGACAAAAAGATCTTGCTTCCACTGATTTACTCACTAAGGCCGGAATAGCCGGAACTGAGCCAATGTGAACCAGAAACCCAGAGCTGCTTCCCAGTCTGCCATGTGGGTGCAGGGCCATCCTCTTCTGCTTTTCCAGGCCACAAGCAGGGAGCTGGATGGGAAGTAGAGCCACCAGGATTAGAATTGGCGCCCATATGGGATCCCGGCGCATTCGAGGCGAGGACTTTAGCTGCTAGGCCACAGTGCCGGACCCCCAAGCTCCCATTCTTGATTATTAAAATTAATGGTGGAGCTGGCAAATTGGCTCAATTGGCTGCTCCTTTTCCTGTAAGCATTGGCATCCATATGGGTGCAGTTCATGTCCCAGATGCTCTACTTCCAATGCAGCTCCCTACTTGTGTCCTGGAAAAGTAGTAGAGGATGGCCTGAGGTCTTGAAACTCTGCATCCCTGTGGAAGACGTGGAATAAACTCCTGCGCATGGCTTTGAATCGGCTCCTCTCTGGCCATTGCCGCAACTTGGAGCATGAACCAGAGGATGGAAGATCTTTGTTTCTATCTCTCCTTCTCTCTGTAAATGTGCCTTTCTAATAAAAATAAATAAATTTTAAAGTAGTGGTGATTAATTGCCGGAGTCCAGCTCCAGCCAAGTTCGGAACTTGAGAAAGGTGTGTGGGTGAAGAAAGAAATGGACCATTATATTTTCATGATCATAATGGACAATGCAGGAAAGCTGTATGTTTTCTTTTTTTTTTTTAGACAGATTTTTTTTTTAAAGATTTATTTTTATTATTTTTTATTGGAAAGGCGGATATACAGAGAGGAGATACAGAGAGGAAGATCTCCCGTCCGATGATTCACTCCCCAAGTGAGCCGCAACAGGCCGATACTATGCTGATCCAAAGCCAGGAGCCTCTTCCAGGTCTCCCACGCGGGTGCAGGTTCCCAAAGCTTTGGGCCGTCCTCGACTGCTTTCCCAGGCCACAGGCAGGGAGCTGGAAGGGAAGCGGGGCTGCCAGGATAGAACCGGCCCCCATATGGGATCCCGGGCGTGCAAGGCGAGGACTTAACCACTTGTGCCACCGCGCCGGGCCCTGTGTGTTTTCTGGCTCAGATTTTTTACGTCATGGTCAAGTGGGTGTTTCTAAGGATAATTCTGCCATTTGTTTCACCTAGAAACAATAGAAGTTCCTACTGCAATTCTTATTCTACAACTCACTTTTGTGTTACAAAGAAAAGGAGAACCTAAAAATCAAGGAAAGAATGAAGCCCTAAATACAGGTCCCTACATTAGTTTAAGGTCAATGGGGACAGCCAAGACAGTATGAATAATAAAAGGCCCTTTTGTAAGACGTTATTATTGACATTAAACTGCAAGCTCACATTGAGTAAAAAAGCCAACTCCACAGTAGGAAACAGTACCTGAATGGATTAGAATTCTTCCATAGAGTGGTCCGGTGTCCATGCAGAGGGAGGCGGCGCTGCATTCAGGTGGTTGTAGAGACGTCCACCTGGCCCTGCTGTACAGAGGGAAAATCCTTGCGGCCCTGCCTACAATGGAACAATACTCTTCATACCTTAGTATCCCCCACATCCACTGCACAGACCCCAGCAATTAATATCATATTGTAGACATTTAAATATTTATTTAAATTGGGAAAATTTTCAAAAGAGTTTTTAAAATTTTTATTTATTTGACTGTCAGAGTTGCAGAGAGAGGGAAAGACAGAGGGTCTTCTTTCCATTGGTTCACTCTAGATAGCCACAACAGCAAAGGCTGGGCCAGGCGGAAGCCAGGAACTTGGAACTCTGTCCTGGCCTTCCATAAAGATTTCAGGTGTCCAAATAGTTAGGTCCCAGTTGCATTAGCAGGAAACTGGGTGAAAAGCAGAGCAGCCGGGACATGAAATGTCCCTCCATTAGTATTCATTAGTATGAGCCTGGCATCACAAACAGAAACTGAACCCAGTGCCACAGGGTATATATGTTTTCTTCTCTGTGAAAGGATTTATTATTTCAGCTGTGCTGTCACATTGTGATAACTAATAGGAATCCTGTAAGTGACATATAGATCCTAAAGAAAAAGCTGTGTTAGCAGAGCTGTACTGTAGATGCAAGCTTCAACAGATAGACAGAAAGACTGCGAGGCAGCCCTTACCCGAGTTAGGTCTGTGTGCCTATGCTGCTTTGTAGCCTCCTGTTCCCCTCAGATGACATGCTGACCCTTCATTTCCCATTTACTGTGTTGACTCCCACTCAGTGGCGGCCTGGGTGTAGAGCAGGCTGGCAAGTTGAGAGTGGAGCACTAAGAGCAGTGATGGCTCTTCTTGGCCTGGACCACACTCTTAGCTGGTCCTACTTGGACTTTACTGTGAATCCTCCTGGATACAGAGAGAAGAACCAAGAGATGGCTGACAGTGTCCCATTAATCCCTTTCTTGCAGGTAGTGGCAAAGGAAGCCTGGGAGAATCACAGGTTGCGGAATGATTCCGTGATTGTGGACACTTTCCATGGGCTCTTCAAATCTACCTTGGTTTGCCCAGAATGTGCTAAGGTTTCTGTGACTTTTGATCCATTTTGTTATCTCACTCTCCCACTGCCCTTGAAGAAAGACCGAGTCATGGAGGTCTTCCTGGTGCCTGCTGACCCTCGCTGCAGGCCTACCCAGGTAATAGAACACATACCCTTATGGCACTCTTGCTTTGAGTGGTCTCTAGACGCTGGAGGGGCTGCTTCCACTGGCCGTGTTGCATCGGGAACTCTGAGTTGCCTGTGTCCTCTCAGCACTTGACCCCCACTGGCCTTTGGGTATTCCTGTAATATGCCTTGCTTGTTGTGGTTTTGTTCCTCATATTCCAGTCATGTGACTGAAGAAATCTGTGGGTCTGTGACGTGGCCCTTGTGTATGAAGGTTTGGGACCCAGAGGCTCCCTTAGCTTCATCCTCACATCAGCCAAAAAAGCCCCAAACAAGAGGCCAGGGCAGGTGTCTGAGCAGCAAATCTTGGTTGCAGCTGTGCTGGGGATGCATTAATCTTCATGTCTGAAAAGGATGATGGGTGGGATCACTGAAGGGGAGCATACAGAGTCATGTGAAGAAAAAGTGGGGCAGTGTTTGGCAGGGCAGGAGATGGCCCAGCTCCTGTCCTGCTGCTGGTTCCTGAGGCAGGGACTGATGCACACGTGCCTGTTGTCTCTGCCACTCACTCTTCTGGTCTCTCACCTCCCTGTATGCTGCTGTTTCCGAAAGAGCAACTAACATGCCTTCCCCTCCCAGCTTGTTTCCCACCTGTTATCTTGACTGTCTCTCCCCTGCAGTACCGGGTGACTGTCCCACTGATGGGGGCCGTATCAGACCTGTGCGACGCACTCTCCAGGCTGTCTGGCATTGCTGCAGAAAACGTAAGGCCGGGTGACCAACGAGACTCCTTTTTCAGGGGGTGGGTAGTAGTTGCTGTCCAGCACAGTCATGCCCTTAGCTCTGGGTGCCCTGGGGCCATCCTAGCTCCAGAGAAACACCATCGTTTTTCTTTCTGTTTTTGGGTCACACTAATCATGGTCTGCGGCAAGGGGTAGAACTGTGTTGCCAGCACTGTGTGATGGAATGGGCTGGAGACTTTGGCCTTGTGGAACACCCCTGCAGATTTTGAAGAAGTTCCAGTCTGTGATTAGCACTCCTTGCCACCCAGCCTCCACTTCTTCCTTGGACCTTAGCTCCGAGTCCTGGGGCCATTTGTGGGAGTGCGCATAGAGGCAACATTTCAGCTGGACATTTTTTTCCTCTTGTTTCTAGGTTATAAGTAGTTGGCAGGGCAATCTGGTGCCATCCTGTAATCTGTTACTGTTAATTCCCAGATGGTGGTCACAGATGTGTATAATCACCGGTTCCACAAAATTTTCCAAATGGATGAAGGTTTAAATCATATCATGCCTCGAGATGACATTTTTGTGTGAGTATTGTGCTGCGAAGTAAGGGCACATGTTCTAGAGGTTCTGCCATCCTGGCAGGTGCTGTTCAAATGGAGCTACGTGGGAGTGCAGGAGACCGGGCAACCAGCACCATCAGCACCTTAAGGCACTGCAAGTCGTGTGTCCCCGTGGTGCGTCTCTACATGGACACACCTGTGGTTAATACCTGCAGCAGGTCATGGAGTCATCCCAACTGTGGGAGAAAGGGGAAGGGGATGCAGAAGAGATAAGAAACATAAGCAGTTTATGCCCAGACTGTGGGAGTGCGCATAGAGGCAACACCAGTTCCTCACTCCTTGTGGGCGGCGGGAGGGGTATGAGGGAAGCGGGTTATTGTCTTGGGCTACTTCCTGGCTTTTCTGTGTAATTGTAGGTATAATCCCTGATGGAGTGGGGTGTTCTGACTTTGCCTACAGCTCCCAGATTGTCAACTTGCTTCAGTGTGGCCCTTTCCCTCCTTCTCTACTCTCACTTGGAAACTTATCTCATGTAGAAGCTTTTCAGAATTGGTCTTGGCTTTGCCTGAGGAATGCAATATCTAAAGAAGAAACCTCCCCATTACATGTCTGGGCCTGTGACTTTTGGTTTATATTCTGGAAGGCGCGGTGGAAATGGCTTCTCTGCCTTTCTGCTAGTGTACTTGGTGTGCCAGGGCCCATAAACCCACCACTGCAGCTGCTCTGTGCTCACAGGCTAACACATCCTGTCTATCCGACACAGGTATGAGGTCTGTGGCACCTCTGTGGATGGTGTGGAGCGGGTCACGCTTCCTATCTACTTCAGGGAAAGGAAGTCCAGGCCGTCAAGCACATCCTCCGGGGTGGTGCTGTATGGGCAGCCACTGCTGGTTTCTGTCCCTAAGCACAAGCTCACCCTCGACTCTCTGTACCAGGCCGTTTGTGATCGGATCAGGTCAGTGGCAGAGATGCAATTTGGTGTGTCTCTGAGATCAACATGGGTGTCTAATGGTAGTAGCAGCCCTGTGCGGATGGGCTGCGTGGATCCCCTAGGCTCAACTATGTCTGACCCAGAAGGGCCAGCAGGTGTTATTGGGATGGGATGTCAGGTATACTGTCCAGGTATAGTGACCAAAAGTCTCTAAATCGAGTCAGCCACCTGCATTTGGGAATTCAGGGGCTTCATGTTTAAAAACTTTTTCTGAAACATTGCACTGTTCTGTAATTGGCATTACTGAGAAATAATTTCATTTATTTAATTTAAAAAAAAATAATTTATTTTGAGAGAGTGACAGAAGAGGAGAGGTAGATCTTCATTTGCTTATTCATTCCCCAAATGGCTGCAACAGCCAGGGCTCTGTGAAGCCAGGAGCCTAGAACTCCATCTGTTATCTCCCGTGTGAGTAACAGGGGCCCAAGTACTTGGACTGTCATCTGCTGTTTTCTCAGGCACTTTGTCAGGGAGCTGGATCAGAAATGGCTAAATCCTTACCTTGCATCTGCCAGGATCCCATATGGGTGTCGGTTTGTACCCTGACTGCTCCACTTCCCATCCAGCTCCCTGGTTGTGTCCTAGGAAAGCAGTAAAGGATGACCCAAAGCCTTGGGACCCTGCACCTGCATGGGAGACCTGGAAGAAGCTCCTGGCTTTGAATCGGTTCAGCTCTGATCATTGTGGTCACTTGGAGTGAACCAGTGGACAGAAAATCTTTCTGTGTCTTCTCTGTAAACCTGACTTTTCAGTCATAATCTTAAAAAAAAAAAAAAATTAGGAGCAGCCAGGACACAAACTGGTGCTCATTTGGTATCAAGGCCACAGCTTTACACAGCCAACCCAGAGAAAGTCTTTTTTTTTTTTTTTTTTTAAGATTTCTTTTTATTACAAAGTCAGATATACAGAGAGGAGGAGAGATAGAGAGGAAGATCTTCCGTCCGATGATTCACTCCCCAAGTGACCGCAGTGGCCGGTGCTGTGCCGATCCAAAGCCAGGTGCCAGGAGCTTCCTCCAGATCTTCCACACGGGTGCAGGATCCCAAAGCTTTGGGCTGTCCTCAGTTGCTTTCCCAGGCCACAAGCAAGGAGCTGGATGGGAAGTGGAGCTGCCAGGATTAGAACCCGTGCTCATATGGGATCCCGGCGCGTTCCAGGCGAGGACTTTAGCCGCTAGGCCACGCCACCGGGCCCGAGAAATAGTCTTAAAAATGATTGTTATAGGCATTCACAGAAGACTGAGACCGTTTTTTTGAAGTCTTTATGGCTTAATAGATTGAATGTCATGTCTCCTGGATTCCTCTTAGTGTTTTAGTGTGAACCATCATGATGGTTTTAAAGCACTTTTTATTTACAAATATTGCTTTGTGAATAGATTATATGCACTACTTAGCTGCATTGCAGAGAAAAGCAAGGAAATGTTACATCTGTTTTGCTCTTTCTCTTTTAAGCCGCTATGTAAAACACCCTTTGCCTGATGAATCTGGCAGCTCACTCTTGGAGCCAGGGGCCTGCAATGGCTCCAGGGACAACTGTGAAGGTGAGCTAAGGGGCAGTTCTAGGGGCGGTGGTCCTGGGACTGAGTGGCTACCTCAGTTCCTGCTGTTAAGGGTGTGGCACTTGATTGGCAGTTCTGCCTATTACAGCAGACCTGGGAGCCAGATCTGTATGGTCACTGTTCTACTTTGTCAGCTCATGGAATCTTCCTAGACACCTGCTGATATGGGTTGAGTTTCACTGAAGTATACTGAACCTACAGGGGTTGAGTGACTTGCCCAGGTCACAAAGCAGAGTCAGGATTTGAATTTTGATCTGTTGGGGTTGCGGCATGGCATGCAGCCAGCACAGGACTGTCTTTGTGACCTTCATGGGCATAGCGGTGGTTAACTGGGCCTTTCTGCCCTTCCACAGCAGCATGATGCATAACCTTCTGTCCCCAGGGAAGGTAGAAATTCCTGCCAGCTTGTCAGAAGGCAGGGACCAGCTCTCCTGGGCGTTTCTTTTACTCCTTTCTCCTCAGGATGCCATGGGTAGTTGCTGATGGCAGGCACCTCCTGCTGTGAGAGGGAAATCCCATGTGGGAAAGTAGGAGAACCCTGAACCTTCATTGTCCTCTCATGAGTGCCTGGGCACTGACAAAGCCCTTCTTATCAGGGGAGCCATGTGCCATCTGCATTTCACCTGTTATTCTTCAATGGATCTGAAAGAACCAGTGGTTTTCTTTCTTGAAAACTGGAAGCATCCTCCAGATTAATTCTTTAAAATACCAGTTACAAATCTAATTGTACAGATTCCTCTAATATGTACAAGGTCCTGAAAGTGAGAACTGATATTAGACATCATGACTCTTTGCCAGTGACATGTCTGGACGTGAGGGACATTATGCTAAGTAAGTCAGGCACAGAAAGAGAAACACCACAGTGTCATGATGACCCCACCCCTTGTGTGCAGTCTAGAGAAGTGGATTTCTTCGAGTGCCCACCAGAGGTTGGCAGCCTGGGGTGGAGAGGATGAACAGCTTGGTCAGCAGGTACAGCATTGTGGTGAGACTGAGAAGTCAGTTCTGGTGTGTGTGGCATAGCAAGGGGCGTGGAGGTAGCCATACTGCATCATGTGTCAGAGTGGTTAGAAAAGAGGCTTTTGAGCATGCCCTAAGGAAAGGATAAAATTGTAAGGTGATAGGATGTTAACTGTGCTGAGTTGATTTTTATCCCATGTCTACATGAGTCAGAACATCACATTGTACTGTACAAATAATATATGGATCGGGGGTTAATAAATGAAATCAACAAACTGAAAAATACTGCTGGCTAAACTGCCATTGATTGTTCCAGGTTCCTTCTAAGTATTTTAGGATGGTTAAGAAATCTTAGAGTCAGCACTAGTTCTCCCTGGCCAGGAGATGAACGGAAGTATATTTTGTGCACAGGTCGCACAAGCAGAGGTTTCGAAGTGACAGTGGCAGTCTGTGAGCAGACCTTGCCTTACTTGTGGCTCTGCAGAAGCTAGGGCCCTGTGACCCCTCGTCCGAGTTATGACTTGGGCTTCAACAGGGCACTGCATTCCTCTGAACCTTGGCTTGCTCATCTGCAAACCAGCCCGGTGCCACCTGCTTCCCACTGGCAATTACAGCAACAGCCAGAGCTGAGCTGATCCAAAACTGGGAGCTGTGTTCAGTGTGGGGTCCCAAGGACTTGGGCCATCCTCCACAGCTTTCTTAGGACACAAGCAGGGAGCTGAATCAAAAGTAGAGCAGCCAGGACTCCAAACAGCCCCATATAAGTTGCCGGCACCACAGGGCAGAGGATTAGGCTGTCATGCCACTGTGCATGATGTCAGCTTGTGACTACATTAGCAGTTTCTGAGATTGTCCAGGTAACAGGACCAGTAGAATGGCCTGGGCAGAGTTTGGGTGGTGCCAGGATATTGGCACCAGGTAGGAGTAGGACTGGCTCACCTGAGTAGAAGGGGCAGTGCCACCATTAGAGGAGTTGAAGAAGTGGGGAGGACCTCTGGGGCACACAGGCTTCCTACACAGTGCCGCCTCCTCTCCTGTTTTTTGATCTGATTTTTTCGGATAGTTTTATCCGATGTTTTTTTCCACGTTTACAGGTGTCTTTTTTTTTTTTTTAAGACTTCCTTATTTTTATTGCAGGTCCAGCGCAGTAGCCTAGTGGTTAAAGTTCTCTCCTTGAATGTGCTGACATCTCATGTGGGTGCCAGTTCTAATCCCAGCAGCCCCAATTCTCATCTAGCTCCCTGCTTGTGGCCTGGAAAAGCAATTGAGGATGATCCAAATCCTTGAGACCCTGCACTCGCCTACGAGACCTGGAAGAGGTTCCTGGCTCCTGCCTTCAGATCGGTGCAGTTCTAGCCACTGAGCCGCTTAGGGTGTGAATCGTCAGACAGAAGATTTTCCTATTTGTCTCTCCTCCTCTCTGTAAATTTGACTTTGTAATAAAAATAAAATAAATCTTTTTATATTTTTTCTTACTCATTTTTATTGCAAAGGCAGATTAACAGAGGAAAGGAGACAGAGGCAAAGATCTTGCATCCACTGGTTGTCTCCCCAAATGGCAGCAATGGCAGGAGCTGAGCCAATCCGAAGCCAGGAGCTTCTTTCAGGTCTCCCACATGGGTGCAGGGTCCCAAGGACTTAAACCGTCCTTTGCTGTTTTCCCAGGCCACAGACAGGGAGCAGTATGGAAAGTGGAACAACCAGGACACAATCCAGCACCCATGTTGGATGCTTACGCTTGAAGGATTGGTCTGTTGAGCCACGGTGCCCGCCCCCAGAGTTTGTTTTGGGTCCGTTCTTCTTGGTCCCCTTCCAGTCGGCTCTTGGGTGGACCCCATCTTTACAGGAATTAATGCTGATGTGAGGCTTTACCTTTCTCCTCCATCTGCCATGGCTCCGCAGCATGGCATGCCATCCGCACCTAAGAGATTGACAGTAAGTGCTCGCTCAGGGAACATTTGGTATATGTGGTTATTTTTGTTTGTTTTCTGGGGGAACTGAATACTTTTACTTAGTATTTGTGTTCATTTACTTTCTTTTTTTCAAGGACTTTTTTTGAAAGGTAGAATTATAGAGAAAGAGGGATAGAAGGGACTTTCATCCTGCTGGTTCAGTTCCCTGAAGGTCACTCAGCATTTGAAGCTAGACTCGGCTGAAGCCAGGAGCTAGAACCTTTGTCTGGGTCTTCCGTGGGTTCCAGGAGCCCAAGGATTTTGTCCATTCTGCCTTCCGAGGCATGTTAGCAGGGAGCTGGATTGGAAGCAGAAGAAACTGGACTCAAATTGGTGTCCATAGGGGATGCCAGCAGCACAGGCAGCAGTTGAACCCTTGTGCTGAGTGTGTGTTTCATTTAGGCCTTTGCTGTCTGTGTGCGTAATGTAGTTCAAAGAGCGGAGCTGTGTGAATTTTGGTGCCCTACAAAGGAGGGCTGGACTGTAGGACTGCCAAGTCACGGCACCTTTGGGGCTCACTGAACTCCTTGCACCTCCACTTCCTCAGCACAGAAGAGATATGGCCACTCTCCCCTTCAGAGAGGGTCACACATGAATTAGAGTGGCTTGCACAGGCCATTGGGGCAGGCGAAGGTTCTCACGCGCAGTCTGCTTGCAGGAAGAAGCACTTGCTCATGGACACTGCCTCACGGTGCATGTGCCTTGTTTTGTTTGTGTGTCAGGAGAAGAGGAGGAAATGGAACATCAAGAAGAAGGCAAAGAACAGCTCTCTGAGGCAGAAGGCAGTGGGGAGGACGAGCTGGGCAGCGAGCCCTGTGAGAGCAGGCCACAGAAGGCCCCCGGCCAGGCCTGCCCCAAGAGGCTCTTCACCTTCAGTCTGGTGAACTCCTACGGAACAGCGGACATCAATTCCCTTGCGACTGACGGGAAGCTGCTTAAACTCAACTGTAAGCACCTTCCAGGGCCTTAAGTCAAGCTTTGGGTGGAGGATGGCTTATTGCTTTGGGGCTTCCCTTTCCTCGTGTTGCAATCACGGGGGCAAACAGGGCTGCTGTGGGCTGACTCTGGAAGTCCCATGGCCTTCTTCAGGGGAAAGCCTTGCTCCTTCCAGCACGGTCCTTGAGGTCCTGGGAGGAGGTGGCCCCTTCACTTCCTCGCCCTGTAGGGACAAGTGCTTTGATCCGGCTGCACAACATTTATTTGAACATCTTCAGCTTCAGAAAATCATTCCATGTTTTGTTTTCTAAGAGTATTTAGAAATTATGACATGGCTGGAGGACGGCTGTGCAGTTCGGCGTTGTGTGAGACAAGCCAGTGAGGACCCTCATGCAGGACTTGCAGATGCAGCTCTCTAAAAAATTCTTACTTTATTCATTTTTTATTTGGAAGTCTGAGTTATGAGAAGAAGGGGCACAGAAAGGTTTTCTGTCAGTGAGATTGTTCTCCAAGTGGCTATCTCAAGTGGCCACAATGGCCAAGCCTGAGCCAGGCCGAAAGGAAGTGGGCAGCTAGGATACAGATCTGCTCTCACATGGGATGCTGGCTTCACAGGTGGTGGCTTTAGCTGATGTGCCTCAGTGCTGATCCCACTGAAGTATTTCTGTATCTTTTAGCTGCTTTTGTTAGAGAAGAAACTAGTAAACCAGCTGATTGTGTACTTGCTTATATTTTTTGATACACATTTTTTTTTTTTTTGCCTGACAGGCAAAGAGACAAGAGACAGAAACCTTCCATCTGCTAAATGACTCCTGAAATGTCCAGAGCTGGGCCAGGCCAAAAGCAGGAGGCAAGAACTGTGTCTAGATCTCCCCAGTGGGTGGCAGGAGCCCAGTTCATTTGGGCTGTCTTTCACTGCTTTCCCAGGCACATTAGCAGGGAGGTGGAGCAGCCAGGAATTGAACCAGTACAACGGGCTTCATGCCTTGTACCCCAGCTCCCCAGTCCCTGTGCATCCTTTTTAAATTAATAAAAGCAAGCACTAAAAGTGCTGTGTTGATGTTCCTGGTTCCCCTTGGCTGGCTCACCCTGCAGCTCTGTCTTCATTGGTGGTTTTTCCCTTTCTGGCATGGTACCTGTCCATCTGGCCTCTGCAAGTCGCCCTGTGGCTGCAGCCTGGAAGCTGCTGGCCAAGCCAACAGCTAGGGTGGGGTGGCAGTCAGTCATTTTGTTTTCCTTCTACCAGAAGCCTCTCATTCTAGGGCCCAGTGTCTGCCCCCAGTTGTTTCATCTGTGTTTCATCTGCTCTGTTTTTTTTCTTTTTTTCTTTTTTGAACGAGCTACAAAGAGAGGGGGCTCATGTGCTGATTCATGTCCCAGATGCCAGGAGGTCATCCAAATCTCCCACATGGGTCCAGGAACCATCCTCCACTGTTCTTCACAGGCCGTAAGCAGGGAGCTGAATTGGAAGTGGAGCAGCCAGAATACCCACCATACTGGGGCTGTCAGTGTCGTGCAGGTGACGGCTTAAGCCCTGTGCCACAGTTTCGTCCTCGTTTCAGCTGTTCTTGGAGATTTTTTGCTGGTTGGTAAAGGAGGATAAATATAGGCCGTCTAGATGAGTCTGTCTAAAACCGTGCCCTTTCAGAATCCTATATATTTCACACTTCTGGAGCTTCCCTGTACTGCTAAGGAAAGCTGCTAAGGACTTCACAGTTGCAGAAAGGCTGTGCCTAGGCAGAGCCTTGCTCCTGGCCGCAAGTGGTAATGGATCTGCCTGCGTGTGTCCTCCTTCCTGTCACCTGCTGGCCATCCCATAACAAATGACTCCCTGGTCCTCCTCCTCAGCTCGATCTACTCTGGCCATCGATTGGGACAGTGAGACGCGAAACCTTTACTATGATGAGCAGGAGTCTGAGGTACGTCCCCTGGGGTTATCAAGTGGCAGCAAGTTCCGATTTGAGAACTGCATGTGTGGAAAAGAGGGTCGCCCTCAGGGTTCAGAGAGCAGTTTAACAGGTTAGATTTGGGTCCAGGAGGGCAGAGTTGTACCAGGGTTTTCTCCTTCCACACACAAAGGTTCTGGGGGCGGGAGGAGGGGAGGGGAAGCTGTTTCCTTGGCTGCCCCCAGCCCCATGCCCGGTTTTGTCCCGACAGGCCTTTGAGAAGCACGTGAGCATGCTGCAGCCACAGAAAAAGAAGAAGACCTCCGTGGCCCTGAGAGACTGCATTGAGCTCTTCACCACCATGGAGACCCTCGGGGAGCACGACCCCTGGTACACAGGGTTCACCCACACACCCTAGGCCAACCCTGGGGTGGGATGTGTCAGCTTGCTGTGCCAGGTCACTCTGCCCTTCTGCACACAAGGCCGGTGCGCTCACTCATACATCCTGGCTGTGCCTCCCGTGGCATGGGGCAGGTGCCCCCATGACACTTTGTCGCCTGCTGAGTGGAACTCTCTCCTATTCAGGTACTGCCCCAATTGCAAGAAGCACCAGCAGGCCACCAAGAAATTTGACCTCTGGTCCTTGCCCAAGATTCTGGTGGTCCACCTCAAGCGCTTCTCCTACAGCCGATACTGGAGGGATAAGCTGGACACAGCCGTGGAGTTCCCAGTCAGGTGGGGGAGGTGGCAGACTCAGCAGGTGGTGTGGGGGCAGTTTGAACACGGATTGGCAGAAAGGCTTGTCCTGGGAGACCTATGCCAGTGGGCCTGAGTGTTGCTTGGCTCAGCTCACCTCTCCGTGCAGGCTCTGGGATAACCAACACCTCTGCCAGCCTGATGCCACTAACCGCCCTGCTTATCCCCTTCCTTTTGGGTGCTGGGGCAGCTAGCACCAGCAGGAGCAGCAGACCCACTGCTCACGGGCAGGGGGGACTGGCTGTCAGGTGTGTCCTTCCAGGCCTGAGGTTTAGGGTAACATGGGCAAGACAAGAAGTCCACCCAGCAGAGGTTGCCTACAAAAATGCTGATTTTCAGAAACTTTCTGGGATGAGTAACAGGTAGATCCATGAGAAATTGTTCTCTCAGTGGCAGGTCCATGTAGGTGCTGGAGTGTCAGTTTTGAAATCTTTTCACCTTTCCTGCATGCTAGAAATTTCCACCATGCTGGCGACCGAATGCTCTCTGGGCCTGCCTTGGTCCTGACAGCCGCTGTCACTCTGGGGGTGACAGTGGTTACCGTGTGGCTGCTGTAGGAGATGCCTGGGACACTACTCGTGCCTTGCACCTTCCCAGAGCCCAGGGCCCACCTTGCACCCTACAGTTCCTTCTGCAGTGGCTTTGGTGCCTGCCTTCCCACGTCCGGCCTGTCACAGACAAAAGGGCTTGCTGGGCTCTCTGACCTCTCCCACAGTGTCGGGCACAGTGGCCCAGAGCACTCTCTGTTTCGTGATCAGGGCGCTGAACATGTCAGAGTTTGTCTGCGACCTGTCAGCAAGGCCTTACGTGTATGATCTCATCGCCGTGTCCAATCACTATGGCGCCATGGGCGTTGGCCACTGTAAGTATTGCCTCTGTGCCTCTCCTACTGCTTAGCTCACTTGTCAGGCGCTGCCCTAAGCAGCTACTACTCCTTCTTTCTTATTTATTTATTGAATAAAAATTTTTATAATGTATTTAAAAGGTAGAGATGACCTTCATCCTCTTCACTTCCCCAAAAGTCAGTAACCAGAGCTGGACCAGGCTGAAACCAGGAATCTGGGATTCGGTCTGGGACTCAAACTGGCCACTCCCATGTGGAATGCCAGTGTTGAAGGCTGTAGTTGTAAGTGCTATGCCACAATGCTGCCCCTACCTCCCAAATAAAAGTTTAAAGCCTTGGCCCCTATAACTGCATTCTTTCTCTTTAGGAGAAGGCATAGTTTAGGGAAAAGTGTGAGTTGTCTTGATTCAGACCTACCCAAACTGTACGTTATTGTTCCTCATGTTTTGCTTTGCTTGGGGTTGAGGAGGTGGTACCTGCCTGATAAGCCAGCAGACTCCAGCTCTGCTGACTGCCAGGGTCTGTGCTGATTTGCAGACACTGCGTATGCGAAGAACAAGCTGAATGGCAAGTGGTACTACTTCGATGATAGCAACGTGTCACCAGCCTCTGAGGAGCAGATTGTGGTGAGTGGACCCCACCCCAGCATCTCCGTCCTGCTGCAGAGACTCCCAGACTCCCTCTGGGCAAGGTCCCACTCCCACCAGTTGGCTCTTATGTTTCTGCCGTGACAGGAGAGAGCCCTTCCTGCCCTCCTTGCAAAGGGTCCAGGTGGAAGGGTTCGAGGTGGCTGTTCAATGCAAGCAGCGGCTGTAAGAGGCCTACCCCCACTTGTCTTGCAGACAAAGGCTGCCTACGTGTTGTTCTACCAGCGCCGAGATGATGAAGTCTGTAATACTCCTTCGCAAGCCGCTTTTCCTGGCTGCTCCGAGGGGGACGCGCGACCCAGTGGCTCACAGCAGGTCTCGGGAGAGGAGGAGACCTGCAGCATGGATACCAACTGAGGCCCGCTTGGCTGCTGGCCACCCATCTCACGGGGTGGCCTCCCCAGGGACATCTGGGATCCTCTGGAGACTACCAGTGTTCAGCCAAAAACAAGATGAGGAAAAACCCTTTTATGAGCAGCAGAAAAAAAAAAAAGACCCTGTTTGCTCCAAAGGGCTATGGCAAGAGGCTGGATTATTTTCTTTATGAGCAGGTGGTGAGAGACCTTGGGTCTGAAACCTCGGAACTGCACAGAGTGGCGGGCAGGGGGCAAGAGCAGGGGGGAATCCCCAGAGGCCTGCTGGGTGCCTGGGGAGCAGAGGAGCCCCCTTGGGCCACCTGGACCCATCACCACCTGTGGTCTCCCCCCAGGACCCCAACTTCAAGTAAACGTCTCTCTTGCCGTGTGCACCAAAATGGGTTTCTCATTTTCTAAGACACAGCAGCCTCCGAACCCCATTTGGGTTCTCCTGTGAGTCATCTTGGGATTTCCAGCTTTCTTTCTCCTCCCTAGTGGAATGAAGATGTTTGGTGTTGGGGTTTCCAGACTCCCAGAGAACCAAGTAGTTTTTCAATTTTTATTGGAAAGGCAGGTTCACAGAGAGGAGAGACAAAGAGATCTTCCATCTGCTGATTTATTCCCCAAGTGGCCACAAAGGTTGGAGCTGAGCCAAACTGAGGCCAGGAGCTTCTTTCAGGTCTCCCACACTGGTGCAGGGTCCCAAGGCTTTGAGCCATCCTCTACTGCTCTACCAAGCCACAAATAGGGATGGGAAGTGGGGCAGCCAGGACATGAACCGGTCCCATGTGAGATTCCAGCAGATGCAAGGCAAGAATTCAGCCACTGAGCTGTGCACTGGCCAGACCTAGCAGTTTTGTTAGGCCTTCTTACCCCCCATTCTCTGTGAATTGAAATGGCCACTGTGTGGGCCTTGTGTTAGATGGCAAGCACTGAGTGCTTTGGTCCCACCTGTACCTTCCTGGCCAGGGAGGGGGAACCTCCGTGAAGGAATCGATTCTGGTCCTGCTGGTTTGGGGTTGATACTCAGGAATTAACAGGGTGCTCTCCCCACCCCTGTCGACTCCCAGACCCAGAGGCCCCACCCCCACCACGGCACTCTGCTTCACTGGACCAGCCTCTATCCTGGAAACTTCCTGTCCGTCCCTGAATACTAATTGGAAGAACAGTTGTCCGGGATCTGACCTTTAACCTAAGCGAGGGTGGGGGTTGGGGCTTCCTTTCTGGGCACGCGCGATTGGGATTGATCAGGTGCACGCAGTGACCGTTGGCGAGGGCCGTGGTACAGCTGCGCCACCGCTCGGTGAGAACGTGGTGGTTTTGGGAGTCCAGCCTAGGGTGTCGGGTGGAGGCAGCAGTGGCGGCGCCCTGGGGGCGGGCCAGACCCGGCAGGCACCAGGGGAGGAGGGCGGGCAGCCCCGGGGTCACTTGCTGATGGCACCCCTCAACCGCCATCAACCCTGCTCCCGCTCAGGCGGTCACTGCCCTGCCCAGTGTGCTGCAGCCCCGCCCAAACCTCAGCCCTCCTGTCGCCCTCCCGCTTCCAATGTAACTCGTAATAAAGACATGGTCACTTTTAGGGAAGATGTCTGAGAAACTCAGAAGATGCAGAAAGGAGCTGGCTGCAGCCATTGACCGAGCCTTTGAAGGCGTCTGTCATTCCCAGGAATGCACAGGCTCCCCGAGGCTGGAGCCGGACGCAGCGCCGCCCACCCTCTCCCTTCCTGTGCACCGGCTGCTCTGCGGGAGGCACCCGCTGGTTTCTTGCGCCTCCGCGGCACCGTTCACCACTGTCCCGTGTGCTGCTGAGAACGAGAACGCTGCCATGCTGCCCACCCATGTCCCACTGGGGGCAAAACCACACGCCTTGGGTCCCAAAAGAAAGCCTCTGGCCAGCAAGGAGAACATGCTGATGCATCCCTGCGCTCTGGCGCCTGAAAGACAGTTCTGGAGAGCAGCGGGCGATGGGGAGCTGTGGCGGAAGGAGACTTTAAGGTGATGGGGTGTCTGTGATTTGCTGCTTCAGCAAAAGGGACCAACCTCTTGTCCCCAGACGTTGTGGTGCCCAACCCTGGCTGGCTTGGGAGAGTTGTCATTTCCAGAATCTTGCTGCAAACTTGTAGCTCGCTGTGTGTGTATGTGTGCTTGGGCCGATAGCCTAATTTCACTGCTGGACCACCTGTGGAAACTATACCCAGCAACACCCAAAGGGATGGTGAGGGTGTCAAATGGCCTGGTGGGGAGCCTCCCTTGACACTGTCACACCGCCCACATTTTAATTGCATCTCTAAGCAGTGTTTGAGCCTGCATAATGTAGTCTACTTAGCCAACACTGCAGGGAGAGGCTAAATTGTGGGTGGCTCAACTTCCTAGCTTTACTCCTGTCTCTGCTCCCCTCTTACACCCAAGACGCTAAGGGCTCCCAAGGCCCTTTGTAACTACCAGATTTCTCCAGACCGCTTGGTCCAGGCATCTTGACTTGAAGTGAGGATGGGAACCCGGGATGAGTCCATGCAACAGGCTGGAACCCACGAAGTCCTTGACCCAGCTCAGCACCACGAGTAATTATGTGGGGTCTGTGACATCCCAATTATCAAAAATGCTATTGGTCCATTTCCTCCAGGACCTCCCAGTCCCAGCATAAATACCCTAGTCCCAAATCCTTTTTTTTTTTTTTCAAAGATCCTATAGCAGGAAGTTGCCCCACAAGGTTCTCTGGATAAGGGTTCTAATGACATTTCTCCTCACCCCGGGACTGCAGGAAAGATGCAGAGAGAGAGTTGAACGTTGAGTCAAACCTGCCTCTCACCAGTGCTAGCCCAGAGGTCACGAAGGATCTGCTGGACATGATAGGTGAGTAGCAAGGGCCACAGCAGCCCTCTGGCCTACACCTCCATGGCCCAGCTGGATCAGCTCTGGGTTTTGGTTGATGGGTGGTGCTCATGGAGGACCACGTGGAGCCATCCTTCCTCGGAGGGCCCAGGGATGGGAAGCCATTTCCCAGACACAAAGGAACAGAGATTTCTGCATCCCTCACGACCTGAAGGTTGAGCTGAGTAGTGGAGGAGCCAGGAATCAGGTCAAGGAAGAGAGGAAGCCAGCGGGGGTGGACGGGACAGCGTTTAGAAGAAAATGTAGAAGCCAAAGCTGTCCTGGGATAACTACCCCCTGCCACCACCACCTCCAGTTATATTCCCTTGACATAGCTGTGTAGTGCTCCCACACACATGACATGGCCATGTAGTCCTCCCACATATGTGTGGGACACTCCAGGCTGTAGATCGATGTGTGAGCTACCTGGGCCTGGTTTGACCAGACTCTACCAGGCAGCAGGTGCCCAGCTGCTAGTTAAGGGGGCGGCTGACTGAGCCTGGAGAGGTGCCTGTTAGCCAGTGCAAGCTTCAGGCACCATTTGGATCAGCAGCTTCACACTGGGCTGCTCTGCCATCCTTCCACACTCCAGCCTGCATGTACATGTCACTCAGACCATTCCCTGCATAGCCACACCTGCCTCTCCTCACATCCCCATCCTGATGTGTGCTTGCTCTGTCTTGTCAGTCCTGAGAGCCAGGCCAGGTATCTGCATTTCAGGCCTTTTATTCCTGGGGCCTGGTAGAGTGTCAGGCGCAGTAAGGCCAGGACCTGCGGCAGGGCGAGGCACCAAGCATCCCCCCCAAGAAGTTGGCATCCACTTGGCCAGCCTGGTACAATCCCAACATGCAACCATCTGTCTGTGCTTGTTTGACTTGTGTTCACAATATCTCCCTCAGACTCCTCACTAGAGCTGTAAAGCTGAGCACATCTCTTCCATTTTAAGATCATACAAGCATCCGAACCATTGAGGACCTGGCTGGGAAGCTGGAGTTTGAGAATGAACTGGGCCGCGTGTGCAGCCGCTGCCAGGATTCGCCCTTCAAGGAGGAGGCCTGGACCCTGCTGGTGGACGAGAGCCCCGAGAGGGCTCCAGGCGCTGACACCTTCGACGAGCACAATATCGTCGAGACTGTTCTGGACCTGGAAGAAGACTACAGTCTGATGAGCCATTTCAAATACCCGATGGAGTGAGGGCAGTGGCTCTGGCCAAGCTCCTCTAAGGGGTGGGGTGGGCGTGTGGGGCAGCCACAATGGCAGTCACGGGGCTCAGCAGAGAGGGTTCTGTTCACAAGGTTGTGAGAACTAGTGTGGCCATAGTCTTTGCCATGTACGATGGGGGTACTGTTGGGGCAGATAACTCAGTTCTGGTAGTTAGGTTAGTTTTACATGTTCCTTATTGTTTGTTGTTTTTGGACTTCTCCTGCCATCTTGAAAGTTGTTTTTTCTTTTTTTACCTTTTGATTTCTGTTCAATATACCCCAGCTCCAAGGTGGGCACAGGGAGTGGGCCTGTGTTGTGTGTCTTGATGTTCTTTTCTGTGGGCCCCATTGTGGGCTGTTTATGCTTATCCAATGGTCCTTGGTCCAACCCTCTGCCATCCTTCTGTGCATGCTTGGTACAGAGGGCACCCTTGTACCCAGACCTGCCTCTCCTCACGCCTCCCCCTGTTCCCCCCTTATTCACCCACAGACCTCTATAGAGGCCCTTCCCCACACAAATCTGGTCACCTTGAGGACCTCTGCCCTGCCTTTCCAGAACATTCCCAGGTGAGGGGCCTCCTCACAGCACCCCTAACCCCAACACTTGAGCGAGCCCCTCACTCCATGGGGTGATAACCCAGTGAGACAAGGCAGGGCAGGGCTGAAGGAGGTGCCTAGCTGTTGCCCTGTGCAGGTCAGTGCGGGCACATCCTTCACAGAGCCACCTCCAGTTTCATCTCTGTATTGTGCAAGAAAGAGCAAGTGAACAAGCATCCAATGCTTCACTTCCCAAATGCCCACAAAGGTCAAGGGGTTGACTGGGCCGGGGTAGGACTGGGATTTCAGTCCAGGTCTCCCATGTCAGTGGTAAAGCAGGAGAACTTGATCCATCACCTGCTGCCTCCCAGAGGAGCATCAGCAGGAAGCAGAGCTGAGACTGAAACCCAGGCACTACAGGTGCAGGTGTCCCAAGGGGTATCTTACTCACTCCTAGGCCGAATGTCGTGGGGCAAAGGTTTAGGATCTTCCAGGAACTGAGGCTTAGCTAGTAGCATGGGCTCAAACAGGGATCATGGACAGATGTGAATCGTGAACAAACCAAGATGCAGAGGACAAAGATAAGGTGGAGAAAGATTGCTTGTCAGGCCACCTTCCGGGTCAGTGCTGCCTCTCCCTGCACTCCTGCCCCTGGAAGCCACCAAGCTTGGCCAGACCCTGATTACTTGATCTGATGAGCCACCCCTCAGGTGTCCTGATGGCGTGTCTGTGTGTACCTATTACAGAAGAGGTGGGGCTTAATTGCTGCCCCTCCTCATCCTGGCCATCACCACCCCCTGAGCATAAGCTAGAGTCTTTGTAAAGACTAAAGGTAGGGAAAGGTGAAATCACAAGCTGGTGCTGGAGATGTACCCTTGCGCAGATGGTGAGGGTTAACATCACCACACACACCCAGATGGGGCGGGGTGGGACTGAGAAAGCTGCTCGCCCTCTGGTGTGTTCTTTCCGAAGACCCCCCATCTCAAGCCCAGAATTGTAAAACAAATGACCCAGAGCACACTCTGCATGATGTCTTGCAGCTGTCAAGGTCATGGCAAGACTCAACAACTGTCAGGGGAGGTGGTACGCATGACTAAAAACTGTGTGGAATCCTGGAGCATCTCCTCGAACTGTAAGAGGACATGAATGGCCAAACTGCTGAAACCCAAAGGAAGCCTGGAGCTAGGTAAAGGAACTGATGTCAGTTCCATAATTAGCTAAGATGGTAACTTTGGGAAGGCTGGGAGAGGCCATGTATGAGCTCATTATCTCGGTAACTTCTCTAGAAATCTAATATCATTCCAAAATTTCAATTGTATTCACTTTTGTAACTGCAGTGGATGGCAAACCTGTGGAAATATGCGTGTGAACACATGTGTACCAAGAATGGAGATCAGTGGGGTTGTGCAGTCTCCCTCCCCCTTCCCTGAGCTTTCTCATTTAACTGCAGGGAAGGTGTTCCACTTTTGTGAGAAGGCAGCTAGCCGCGGACATTCCTCTCGGCTGCCGGTCCAGAGCAGCCTCCCAAGTTTCTGGCACCTGGACTGTATCTTCGGGGCCTTGGGGGGACCTTGGCTGAGGAGTTTCTTGCTGTGGAAATAGATATTTAGCAGAATTGCTGAGCTTTCTGCTTGGCACGCTGGTCCCAGGATGATGAAGGGGTATACCTGAACCTTGTTACTTCCTGAGGCAGGGAACAGGAGACAGCTACTCCTGTCTGCCTCTCTGGCTCCTTGAGGTCCCCCACTGACGTTGTTGCCCTGGTCCTCGGTGACAGATGGTGGGGCTCTTCTCAGGGCAGGTGTGAGGTGCTGTGGACAGAGACCTAGCTGAAGGGATCCCAGGAGCTGAGATGGAACAGCTCGTGAAATGTGTTCAGAGCTCAGGGAGCTAGAAGCCACACCGTCTCAGGAAGACTTCATACTTGACCCGGGTCACATCTGAAAAGCTTCTTAAAACATTTGACGTCATTCGGTTCTCATCCTCACAGCTCATCTTGGCGAGCCAAACAATCACTGAATTGTCTCCTTGGAAACACCTCACTGCAATTTGGATTACCAGAATCAAAATAGAAACAAGACAGCTTCAAGAATAAATAGAATAAATAGAAGCCTTGGAACATGCTAGTTGCAGCAAATTTAGGTCAGAGCACAAGGTGTGTGTGAAGCTGGGGCCTCCCAGGCCGTGTGAAGAGAGGATCCCAGGTCCTGAGGCCACATCCCACCCGTGTTCATGCCAGCACTGCAGGAAGCCTGCTTTGTAAGTAGATATGTAGTCATAACAACAGGTAAGGTAGGTGCTGATCTGTAGAAGCTCCCAGAAGGAAAGGTCTGAGGGCCTCACTGGGAAGGAGGGGACAGGAGCCAGGAGAAAGATAGTCCAATGGGGGAGCAGAGCAGCCCTCCACCCAAGAGGTGTGGTCATAAACTTCGGGGTGTTCCTATCCAGCTGCGAGGATCTCATTTCAGACTCTTGCAGGTGAACTCTGCTGGATTAGCTCTGCCTTCTTGCTGGGAAGGGAACCCAGCCCAGCCCTGGGATGCACCTGCTCCTCTGGATCTCAGGGTCATCCTGTTCCAGCTTCCCTCATGGTTTACCTTACTGGGCATTCTTGCAATAGACCCCCAAGGGATCAGGAGACCTGGCAGAAGGGAAAACAACTTGGTAGGGAAAGGGAGGAGGGGGCTATGTCTGTCATGTATACCCAGCAATATGCTGAGATGGCAGCAACACCAGCCTGCCACAGGTGTGGCATTCAAAGAGTGAAGCAAGGAAAACTGTGGCAGGGGCTGCAACTGTGGCAACTCTCCCCCAGGAAATGCCACAGCGATATGTGACTGAGCCAGGGAGGCTTTGGGAAGCCAGAGCACCCCAGTGAAGATGGGTATTGACAAAGCTCAATCATATGAGACAGACCTGAGCTGGGGCAGTTTGCTTTCCCATAGGAGTATGTGGGAGAATATTAATATTTCAGGCTCCAGTTAAATATTTACAGAGGGAGCAGTTCTGCTCAGGAAATCTATTTGACACTGGATCTGGTTTCTTGCAAGGAAGCACTGGAAAATGACTGTGGTGATGGAGAGCTTTGGCCCAAGGCCTAGCATATGAAAAATTACAAAACCACACAACCTTCGTAGGAATCACCTGGTGTTTTTGAGGGAGGAGAAGCGGTTGCATTCTGGTCTTCAGGTGAGCGAGCTATTACCATCTGGCCAGGGAGAGAGAGGCCTTCATCCTCTCCAGAGGCAAAATATGCAAAAGGAAGGCGGAGCAGGCCCCTCCTTCAGCCCACATGGTGAAGGGCTAACTGACCAATATTGATACCAAGTACCTGCCACTCTCAGACGCCTCCTGGCTGCTGAGCTTGTGGCATGGACAAGGCGTTACCGTAACATGTAACTTCAGATGGAGAACAGGATAGAGGCCTGGATTAGTGAGGGTCAGGAAAGACCTCTCCAAAGGTGACAGGGAAGCTGACATTTGAAGGTCAAAGCAATTAGGCTGCAATCATCTCCCAAGGAGGGAGATGGACCCAACTGTGGGCCTCCCACTGCGTCCACCCTGTGCTGGCTAGAGAGCGGAGAGTGCTGCGTCACCAGGGCCGGGCCTGCACTGCCTCACACTAGGCAAGCCTGGCAGGAACACCGCAGTCAATTTACAAAGAGAAAAACCGCGGACTAAAATAAGAAACAGCCCATCCTGTCCTGATGGTCGCCAGGGACTGGCAGAGGGAGTTTAATTCACTCAGCCTTGTTAGGAAACAATTTTCCTATGTATAACTCCACAAAAAAAAAAAAAAAAAGCTTCGTGGAACACTGGTCATTCTGAACTTTGGCTTCATCATACAAAATGAAATCCTTCTGAAGAAATATTAATTTAAAAATAGGCACATACATATGCACTTATCTGAAAGGGAAACACTAAGAGCGACTGGTGCCCTCCACAGGTTCCCTGCAGCAGCAAGACTCGATCTTCTGGGAGTCTTAGAGAACAAAAACATGGTCTGGATGTTACCTATTTGATTTCTCAAATAAGCTTAAGAAACTGAACTGGGAGATCAGTTCAATAAAGAAAAAGATAAAGATTTGACAGGCATTATCTTTATTTTGAGCAAGTTATTTACAAAAGAAACACACGTCACAAAAATAGGAAAACGTCGCCAAGGTGTAAGTGGAAAGCCAGCCTACTGGTCTTGAGCAGCAAAGCAGGACCAGGGTGAGGAGGTCGTGCAGGCAGGAGGCTGGCAAGCCCCAACTTGGGGCATGCTGCCCTGGCATCGTGAGCACAGCCATTGACCAAAACATGCAAAAGATTGAAGTGGAAGGAAAGAACAATCAGACTCGCACTGTGTAGCACACACATTGAAGACCGAGCACGTGTTTGGGAGCCATGTGGCCGCAGTGACTTGCCAGTAAGCAGCCACGGCCACCTTGGGCCATCAGAAGCTATCCTCGTCACTGCTATCAAAACTCGGGTCAAAGAGGAACCGCTTCCCGGGCTCCTGGCGCGCGGGGCCCCTGGAGCACCGGATGCCCAGCTCGTTGAACCACCGCATCTGCCGGTCTTCCAGGAAGCTGTCCCGAACCGGGGACCTACGGCACTGCAGGCGGCGAGCGCGGGCGGGCCTGGGCGCGCTCCTGCGCACCAACCTGCCACTCTGAGCAGGCGAGCTCGGCCCGCCCTGGCTGCCCACAGCCTCCCGCTGCTCCAGGGAACTCCGCTGGGGGACAGCAGCTGGAGGATGAGCTCGGGAAGCCTGGATCCGGCCTGGGGCCGGTTCCCACTGCCGGACTGTGAGCCTGCCTCTGTAGACTTCGCGGGGATGGGGCTGGTGGCCTTCCGACGCTGCTTGTGGAGCCTCGCCTCTCTGTTCAAGCCCTAGCTGGTCGCGCGGCTCTCTGGAAAGCCTGCTTTCCCCCTGGCATCTTGGAGGGGCATTCCTACTAACGCTGGCTGCCAGTGTGTCTGCATCCTGGCATGTGAGCTGTGACGCGCCCTGACCAACCTGGTCCCTGTGGCCCAGCGGGATGTGGGAGCCAGGGTTCTTGGACTCTCTTGGAGGAACATCTTGATTCTGGTGGGTGACCTGCACTTTCTTATCCTCCGCCCACCCCTTTCTCTGGTGGGGCTGAGCTTCGGGCAGTGCAGCCTCTTCATGGAGGGCACTGATCTTGGCTCCCCGGCCCCCGAACTCAAACTGCCCAGACGGCACGGAGGCCGTGCTGGGGTTTGTTGACTCTGGGAGGGCCTGGGCCTGCCTAGGGCCAGCTCCCTGCGAAGCCCCATTCTCTTGCCTGGGAAAGCTGAGGCCCCGGGCCAGGAGTGGTGATGTCTGAGACGAGCTGTCCCGCAGGAGCCCAGGCCGGCGAGGCTCTGTGAGCCACCTCCGCAGCTCCACCAGCACGCCGGGCACATCCAGCTGGCCGAGCTGTTCACACAGCTGCTGGAAGTCCTTACTCTGCTGTGCCACCAAAACCTCAAGGTGCTTCAAGTCGGACTTGACTTCTGTGAACTCGGCTTGTTTCTGTGGAGAGGCAGTGAGAAAGCAGAGTGATGGTATGCAAATCAGAATGCCAGCAGAACTGAGGGTGGGGTGGGCGGGTCACACTTGGAGACCGGGCCTGCTCCCATGGGGCTTTTGGTCTTGGTTGACAGTTTGCAGTTTTTTAGGTGTCTTTCTGGGTCAAATGTCAAAGCCAAAGACACACTTAAAAAAAAAGAGGATGGGGTTGTCACTTACCACCTCGAATGTCTTCTGCATCTCCAGGATGGCACGATCCGTGTTGCCTTTTTCCCGAACTGCCTCGGCTAACAGGTCACTCTGGGTCCGTGAGGTCTCTTGCACTAAATACAAAACAATGACATTTCACCTCATGGGGATCCCGACGTGTATGGCCTCCAATGAGGGAAGGGAGGAACTGGACAAACGCTTGTCCATGTGCTCCCCAACCAGGAGGCTTTCTGCACAATCTCTTCTTTTCTCACTGTAGCTCCTTTTCTCTGAATCAGAGGCCAGAGCTGTGCCCATCTGAGGCCAGGAGCCAGGAGCCTCTTCCATTTCTCCCTCACGGGTGCAGGGTCCCAAGGCTTTGTGCCATCCTCAACTGCTTTCCCAGGCCACAAGCAGAGAGCTGGATGGGAAGCAGGGCTGCTGGGATTAGAACCAGTGCCCATCTGGGATCCTGACGTGTGTAACATGAGGACTTTAGCTGCTGGGCTACCACGCCAGGCCCAGGGGGAGCATTTTCAAGGCACAGCATGACCTGTGCCTCTGTAAGTACAATATGACAAACTGATCAATGAGCTGCTTCTGTGTTTTTTAATCGTTATCTTCTCAGGGTAGCTTCCTTTCCTAAATATTACCATGAAGGAACCAGGGCCACTGAGGTGGCACTGTGGGTTAAACCACCCCTTGTTAACACTAACATACCATCGTGGATTACTAGTTTGAGTCTCAGCTGCTCCCCTTCCCATTGTTTCCTGCTAGTACATCTGGGAAATAAGTGGATGATGGCCCAGGTGCTTGGGCATCTGTCTCCCACATGGGAAATCTGGATGGAATTTCTGCTTCCTGAGTTTGACCTGGCCTAACCCCAGATATTATGGGTGTAAAACAGAAGATGGATGAGCTCTCTTTCTCCCTCTCTTTCTGTCATTCTATGATTCTGACTCTTTAATAGATGAAAATGCAGCTATCAACAGCAAAAGTTAGGATCCCTGTGTTTGCCAGAAGCCACATTCCATTTTAATCTGGTCTCTGATTTTGCCTCACAGACTTGGACACTTCCATGCTGCCTTCTGAGACTCAGATGCCTGCACGTTTTCAGCAACCCTTTTTCCCTTTACCCAGTTTGTTCTGCTTCCCTCCCAGGTGCAGCAGTCAGGACTCGAACTGGTGTCCATATGGGATGCCTGCACTTGAGACAGCTGCCTGACCCACTATACCACACAGTGGCGGCCCGTTTCATCCAATTTTTAAATATACTGACAGAGAATACTTCGTGTGGGCATCTAACAAATGAGTTATTCTATGTCATTACACGATGGAAGTGTTCTGAAGTTGCTTCTGCTCTTTGCTTTGCTGCATTGTGTGTGGGTAACAGTCCACACATTCCAGAAGCAGTTTCTGAGCAGATGCACAGTTGCCCTAATTGTGGGGTACCCAGATTGAAGACAGCAGACGGACAGCACTGCTTTGCTCACAGATGGGGATTAATGTTCAAGGCACTCAAAGGCATTAAATTTTGTAAATCATGAGCAATCCGTTCCATGGCATCTGAATAAATTGATTCCAACTTGTTTAAAATCAACACAAGGATAAATGCAAACAAGTACAGATGCACAGTCATCAGCTTCCCATGTGGCCGAGAAACTGATGGTTCTAGAGAGATCCGCCTGAGGTCTGTGCCTCGATTTGTCCTCTTCACAAGGGCTAGGGCGGTGGTTTCTACAAATGTCAGCCCCTAATTGGGGGAATAGGGGATTTAAGGAGGCCCAGACCATAACTGAAGTTGAGACTGATGCTCCACTCTTATAACGCAGCTCTTACTGAAACCAAGGCAGATGGAGGAACAGCAGATAAATGGGATATCTCTTCCTTCAAAATTTATTTATTTATTAGCATTTTATTTGAGAAAGACAGAGACAATGGTATCTCTCTCTTTCAAGATTTACTTTAATTGAAAGGCAGAGAAAGAGGAAGACACACAGAGAAATTTTTCCATCCACTGTTTCTTCCCAAAATGATTACAAGAGTCAGGAGCTTAACTCCAAGATCCAAGAACTCCATCCAGGCTTTCCTTGAAGGTGTCAGGAATCCAAGCAGTTAAGCCACTGTCTGTTGTTTTCCAGGCACATTAGCACGAAGCTGGATCAGAAGTGGAGCAGCCAGACCTGGTGTGGTAGCCTAGTGGCTAGAGTGCTTGCCTTGCATGCGCCGAGATCCCATATGAATACCAGTTCATATCCCAGCTGCTCTACTTCCTTTCCAGCTCCCTGCTTGTGGCCTTGGAACCCTGTCCTTGGGTGGGAGACCCAGACGAAGCTGCTGGCTCCTGGCATTGGACCGGTGCAACCCTAGCAATTGCAGCCATTGGGACTTTCCAATAAAAATAAATCTTTTTTTAAAAAAAGAAATGGAGCAGCCTGGATGAATCTTGTGTCATATGGGTTGCTGGCTTCAGTTGACAGTCACACTGGCCCCAAAGAACAGAATCTTCCACTCGCTGGCTCACTCCACAATTGCATGTAACAATCAGGGCTGGGCCAGAACAAACCAGGAGCCTGGAACTCCTTCAGGGACTCCTATGTGGGTGGCAAGTACCCAAGCATGCAAGCCAGCAACTGCTGCTTCCTAGGGTACACATTAACAGGAAGGATTGAAGGTGGAGGAGTCAAGATTCGAAACAGGCACTTGGATATAGGGTGTGCACATCCCAAGCCTCTGTGTTATTGCCCACTCCTAACCTTCAGCACCTCTCTCTGCTAAGGACTCCGTGTCTCCACAGCCAGCACAGCCAGGGACTCTGGGATACTGTCAGCTCACTTTAGACAGCGAGATGAGAAGTCACAGAACTACTTACCCCAAGGCAGGCAGAAGGCATTGTGGGAGGAAGGCCTATCACCCCAAGGGGGCTATGGGACTAGCTCAGTGCTCTAAATCTCTTCAGGGCTAGTCTTGGGTACTCACACTCTGATCTGAAACCCAGGGAACCTCACCACTGGAAACTGGGATGAGTCAGAAAATTCCAGGTCACCACTCTCCAGTGCTCTCTGCTGATAACTTCAAACCCAAGACACTCACCTGTCTTGGCCACAGTCTCCAGAGAATCCAAGATAGTCTGGCTCCTTACACTGAGATGCTCTTCAGACTTCTCCACAGATGTCTGCAACTGGAAACCACAAAGAGCAGAAAGAATTCAGACTGTTGCTTTATTTTACTAACCTGAAGAATTTTAACATAAAAGTGTAGTTAAAAGGCTGCTATTCTAGGGACCAGTGCTATGGCATATAGTGGGTTAAACTGCTGCCTGTGATGCTGGCATTCCATGTGAGTGCCATTCAAGTCCCAGCTGATCCACATGCATTATGATGCTCTGCTAAATGCACCTGGGAAAGAAGCGGAAGATGGTCTGAATGTTTGGGCCCCTGCACGCATGTGGGAGACCAACCTGGAGGTAGACCCTGGCTTCCAATCAGCTCAGCTCTGGTTGTTGCACCCATTTGGGGAGTGAAATAGCGGGTGGAAAATCTCTCTCTTCCTCTCTGGACTCTGACTTTCAAATAAATAATATTTTTTAAAAGATTGCTATTTGTAAACTCAAACTAATCCAACTGTTTAACTTTCTAATGTGAGACATCATCACTCCTTGAAATGTAATTATACTTACCCTATGGATGCTTTCTCTGACATGGGAAACAAAGCTGTATAGAGTCTCACTGGAAGGGGAAAGAGAAAGGAAATCACATCTTTGAAAGGACACAGCCAAGCAACATGGGACAGAACCGACAGTGCACAAGTAGGACAGGATTCCGTCTCACGCAGTCTAAACACTAATCAAATCTGGGGATTAGAACCTAATCAGAAGGAAAGGAGAAAAGTGGCTTTCTGGGATGATTTCCAGCCAAATCTCTTTTTTCTTTTAAGAATCCACTTGGAGGGGCCTGGCAGCGTGGCCTAGCGGCTAAAGTACTTGCCTTGAACGCGCCCAGGATCCCATATGGGCGCCGGTTCTAAGCCCGGCAGCTCCACTTCCCTTCCAGCTCCCTGCCTGTGGCCTGGGAAAGCAGTCGAGGACAGCCCAAAGCTTTGGGACCCTGCACCTGCATGGGAGACCTGGAAGAAGCTCCTGGCTCCTGGCTTCAGATTGGCCATTGCGCTCACTTGGGGAGTGAATCATCGAACGGAAGATCTTCCTCTCTGCCTCTCCTCCTCTCTGTATATCTGACTTTCCAAATAAATAAATAAATCTTAAAAAAAAAAAAATCCACTTGGGGGCCGGGTGCGGTAGCCTAGTGGCTAAAGTCCTAGTCTTGTAAGCGCCAGGATTCTGTATGGGTGCTAATTCATGTCCCAACTGCTATACTTCCCATCCAGCTCCCAGCCTGTGGCCTGGGAAAGCAATTGAGGATGGCCCAAAGTTTGGGACCACGCACCCACATGGGAGACCTGGAAGAACTCCTGGCTCCCGGCTTTGGATCAGCACAGCACCAACCGTTGCGGTCACTTGGGGAGTGAATCATCGGACCGAAGATCTTCCTCTCTGCCTCTCCTCCTCTCTGTATATCTGACTTTGCAATAAAAAATAAGTCTTAAAAATAAATATTTTAAAAAACAATGTATGTATTATATTCTTTACCCTAAAATAAATGCTATTTAACTCTTAATCCCAATGAACTGAAAATAACTAAAGGGTAACTTTTTAAAAAGATGCATTTATTTATATCCTCATTGCATTTCTCAGAAATTCTCCAGTTTTTTTACTTTTCAGAAAGGCAACTATGGTGACAGTCATCTTCATACTTTCTGAAAACATGACAAGCACTAAAAGCCAGAATGCCGTACACTGGTTTATTTACATGTCAACCTGGCAGGCCTAAGAGCCGTCTAGAGAGCAGGTACAGTCTTATTTCTGGGTGTATTTTGGTATTGGTAGGTTGAGTAAAGAAAGTGACTGCCAATAATATGGGTGAATATAGCCCAGGGGATCTAATACCAAAAGAGAGCCCCAAGGCAGAGGCAGGGCAGACTGGCTCTTCTCGTGCTCTCCGGGCTCTCGGCCCTCACCCTCGGGTGCCTGTCACCCACTTCCACACAGGCCTTTGGACTCAAACCCGGAGTGAAGCCATCTGCTCCCCTGGTTCTTGAGCCTCTGGGTGACCGTATTAGGGGCTTTTTCAATATTACCCAACATCTGTGGGATTTCCTGGCTTCTACAATCTCCTGAGTCAATTCCAACAGCAAATTCATTTCTGTGTCTCTCCCTTTTGCTTACTCCACTTACACTACACTTACACACTCACACACACACACATTCTACTGATTCTGAAGAACACTTATATAGGTCTGTCACTAAGGTCAAGTTCAATTATTTGATTATTGACATGTTATTTTTCTCCAGAACAGTCAAGGTGTCTGTACAGCTTGAAGGATTTGCTTACTTGCAATATTTATCTTTTGCCATTTTCTTTTTCTCCTCAAACTGTTCCAAGATGCCTTTTGATTTTCCAGCCAGCAGAGGAAGAGGAAATAAACTTCCATCCTTTGTCTCACTTCCAAACAAGTGGGGTTTTGCCTGGTACTTTGTAAAAATACTAGGTTCGTTCTGTGAAATCATAATAAGAAAATACAGCATTCACTGTTCACTATATAATGCAGATTCACATTTAAATGCAAACCATGTTATCAAAAACAATACAGCGTGTAATATTTTAATTTTTGTGCGTACAGAGGTATGTCTGTAATAACGCAACTCTTTTATCAATATAATTTCTGCCTTAGCAGCCAAGAAATATTTTCAATGTTGATAAAATGGCTTGCAACCAGCTTCCTAAACGTCAAGGCAATATCAGAGAATTATGTCTCAGAGACGATGTGCTAACATTTTCATCTTAACAGATTTGATTAAATCGTTGTTTCTCAGCTGCTAGTGATCTGAAACCTCACTGATGGTTTGCCACAGGCTGCACGACCGGGATGCTGGAACACTGCGGAGCCGCTTCCTACATTCTCAGGTAAGATTTATCTAAGAATATCTACAGAGCACGTTTATGTTTTCAGATCACTAGATCACAAATTTTATACTGAAATACTTAGATCATATTCTACTCTTATCAGTCCTTATTTGATGCACCAAAATATGTATAATTAAATCTAGTTCTAGACCAATAAAACAAAAAACTCAAAATATTTCTGACTCCCAAGAGAAGATAAGCCTCCAACCCCCCATTTTCTCTTTGTTAATCATTAGATTTTCTCAGTTGTAAATACGTTCCAACCGAGTACTGCTCTCTATAATGACAATGACGTGTAGCTACAGAGATGCGACCCATCAGACCCACATCCAGAGGCGCCTGCTGTGTCTGCTTGTGCTGTCTCAGGTGTGTGCCGAAGTCCAAAGGTGCTGCCAGAGTCTCTGTATTTTCTGGACAGAACTGAGATCCAAAGAGGAACTGTGAGTCGCTGAGACTAGAATAATCAGGCTGATTATTGCTCCAAGCAGGTGCTCTAGTATTCCTGAAATCCAACCAGAAAAATACACCATTTGAACAAAATTCTGAATGCATGAAATTATAATTCACAACTGTTTATTTCAAAATATTATGTTTTTCATTAACACACATGTATATAGAAATAATTCCTTTCCTAATTGTTACATTAAAATTAATCAGAAGTATATACATATTTTTTCAGATTTATTTATTTTTATTTGAAAGGCAGATTTATAGAGAGAAAGAGCTTCCATCTCCTGATTTATTCCCCAAATGGCCACACTGGCCAGAGCTGAACCAATTCGAAGCCAGGAGCCAGAAACTTCTTCTAGTCTCCAATGTGAGTGCAATGCCCAAAGACTTGGGGATTCCTCTGCTGCTTTCCCAGGTCATAAACAGGGAGCTGGATGAGAAGTGGAGCAGCCGGGACACAAACCGGCACCTAGATGGAATGCTGATACCACAGAGTAGAAGATCAGCCTGTTGAGCCACCATGCCAGCCTCACATATTCTTTTTTTTTTTTTAAAGATTTATTTTTATTATTTTTTCATTGGAAAGGCGGATGTACAGAGAAGAGACACAGAGAGGAAGATCTTCCGTCCGACGATTCACTCCCCAAGTGAGCCGCAACGGGCCGATACTATGCCGATCCGAAGCCAGGAGCCTCTTCCAGGTCTCCCACGCGGGTGCAGGGTCCCAAAGCCTTGGGCTGTCCTCGACTGCTTTCCCAGGCCACAGGCAGGGAGCTGGAAGGGAAGCGGGGCTGCCGGGATAGAACCGGCGCCCATATGGGATCCTGGGTGTGCAAGGCGAGGACTTAACCACTGCGCCACCGCACCGGGCCCCACATATTCTTTTTTTTTATAAGTGCATAGTCTAAGCCAAAGGAAATTTTTTTATTATAAATACAAACAAAAATATGCTTATAGGCTGGTACAAAAATATGAATAAAATGTAAGAATATTAATAGTACTGCATTGGTAAGGGCAGTTATTTTCACTCAGTGGTAGCAGGCTGCACACACGTATTCAATCTGGGTTGTGAAATCATTACTCAAAATAGCTGGAGACCCATTATGCTAAGAGAATGAGCCAATCCCAAAATGTCAGATAGCACATGTTTGCTCTGGTAAAAGATAATATGGTGTCAAATCTAAGGATTTTTCCTGTGAATTCTACCTTAGTGTTCCTCTTAGTTATTGCACCTTTTGTAATAAGATCTTGTGATATAGTTCATTCATCAATCATCCATTAGAGTCTGATTGTTGTAATCACCTTAGATTGTCAATGTCCTTTTTATCACTGTTATTGCTACTGCCCAGAAGTAACGATGATCTAGTCCTGATTGTGCTTTCTTTAGTGCCACACTGGACACACTGGCATTTATTCCTACAAGAAGGTATTGGACAGGGCCCGGCGTCATGGCCTAGTGGCTAAAGTGCTCGCCTGGAACGCCCCGGGGCCCCATATGGGCGCCAGTGATAATCTTGGCAGCTCCACTTCCCATCCAGCTCCCTGCCTGTGGCCTGGGAGGGCAGTCGAGGACGAACAAAAGCCTTGGGATCCTGCACCCGCATGGGAGACCTGGAAGAAGCTCCTGGTTCCTGGCTTCAGATAGGCACAGCACTGGCCGTTGTGGTCACTTAGGGAGTGAATCATCGGACGGAAGATCTTCCTCTCTGTCTCTCTCCTCCTCTCTGTATATCTGACTTTGTAATAAAATAAATTAATTTAAAAAAACGTATAGAGGGCCCAGCACAATGGCGCAGTGGTTAAAGTCCTCGCCTTGCACACCCAGGATCCCATATGGGCGCCGCTTCCCATCCAGCTTCCCATCCAGCGGCCCCGCTTCCCATCCAGCTCCCTACTTGTGGCCTGGGAAAGCAGTCGAGGACAGCCCAAAGCTTTGGGAACCTGCACCCATGTGGGAGACCCGGAAGAGGCTCCTGGCTTCGGATCGGCATAGCATCGGCTGTTGCGGCTCACTTGGGGAGTGAATCATCAGACGGAAGATCTTCCTCTCTGTGTCTCCTCTCTGTATATCTGCCTTTCCAATGAAAAAATAAATCTTAAAAAAAAAGTATAGATCTTTAAAAAGGAAATTATGTAGGACTTTTATGTTAAAGTTCTGATATGCAATTAAATGAAGATTTTCTTTACTCTTCAACAATGTTATGCATTCCTTTTCTTATTGCAAAAGAGAACAATGCTGTCGATTTTTGACCAGCTTTCTTCAAGAAGGTTTTAGGAAGGTAAGAATCCTCGCAATGATAAAAGCATATTCAAAGCAATTAGGAATCTTTTGAATACACAGCACTTTGGCAACATATGCACCAAATTAGCTGTGGTTGCTTGACTCAAGGCTTGTGAATACCAATTTAAGTACATCAGTGTGGTAGCAGCAGGAACAATATCTTCCTGAGCCTTGCCGTCACTAAAGTGGTTCTAAAATCCACAATACTTACAAATTCCACTGCACAGTTTTTCTGAAGGATTTATTTATTTATTTGAAAGTTGTAATTACAGAGAGAGAGATAGGGATGGAGTGATTTTCTCTTCTCTGCCTCATTCCCCAAGGAGCCAGGCCAAAGCTAGCAGCTTCATCTGGGTCTCCCACATTTGGGAGGGTGAGGGTGCCCAAGCACTTGGGCCATCCTCCACTGCTTTTTCCTGGCCACTATCAGGTAACTGGATCAGAGTCGAGCAGCGGGAGTTGAACCTCTGCCATATGGAATGTTGGCATTGCAGGCCATGGCTTTACCCTCTGTGCCAAATATTGGCCCTGCATTATACAGTTAAATATGTATCTAAATGTCATCTTGGGGCCAATGAAGTGGCGTACAAACTGATCCCCCACCTGTAGTGCCTGGTTCTAGTCTTAGCTGCTCCACTTCTGACCCAGCTCCCTGTCAGTGCTTCTGGGAAAGCAGCAGAGAATGTCCCAAGGTGTTAGGCCCCATACCCATATGGGAGACCTGGAAGAAGGTTCTGGCTCCCGACTTCAGCTTGGATCAGCCTGGCCCAGCTGTGGGTCTTGTGGACCTTTGGGGAATGAATCAGTGAATTCAAGATCTCTCTCCTCTCTGTAACTCTGACTTTTCAGTAAAATTAGTTAATCTTATTTTCTTGATTTTGTTCCTTGCTATTTGCTTAGAAGCCGCCTTAGAAGTGAATTTCCTTAAAAGTTGATCAGTCTGGCTGGCCCTGACACAGTGCTTGGTAACAGTCATTCATTCCTCAGTTAACTCACAAAGCTAAATCAACTCATAATCAGCCAAGTGGGAGAAAAGAAACAGACAGAAGTGACAGAGGAAGGGAAGGGCAGAAGAGACCATCTGAGGCGCCTCTGTTACTGTAACCTGACAGGAAGCAGGTCCTTAAAATGTAGATTCCTGTAAGTATCAGAGGACATCACCAAGAGTCTTACCCAGAAACTGAAGGGATACTGAGCATCTCTTTGATATTCCACACGTTAAAATCCATTTCTTCTGGTTCTCCCCTATTAAAGAGAACAGAAGAAGATTAAGATAATGTGTTTTTCCTTAAGATTACTAATGCTTGGGCCCAGCACCATAGGCCAGTGGCTAAATCCTCGCCTTGCACATCTGGAATCCCATATGGGTGTGGGTTCTTATCTTGACTGCTACACTCCCCTTCCATTTCCCTGCTTGTGTCCTGGGAAAGCAGTGGTGGATGGCCTTGGGACCCTGTATCCGCGTGGGAGGCCCAGAGAAAGCTCCTGGCTCCTGGCTTCAGATCGGCTCAGCTTCAGTCATTGCAGCAACTTGGAGAATGAACCAGTCTCTCCCTTTCTCTTGTTTGCTATACCTTTCAAACAAATTTTTTTTTAAAGATTTATTTTTTTATTTTTTTCATTGGAAAGGCGGATATACAGAGAGGAGAGACAGAGAGGAAGATCTTCCGTCCGATGATTCACTCCCCAAGAGAGCGCAACGGGCCGATACTATGCCAATCCAAAGCCAGGAGCCTCTTCCGGGTCTCCCACGTGGGTGCAGGGTCCCAAAGCTTTGGGCTGTCCTCGACTGCTTTCCCAGGCCACAGGCAGGGAGCTGGAAGGGAAGCGGGGCTGCCGGGATTAGAACCGGCACCCATATGGGATCCCGGGCATGCAAGGCAAGGACCTTAACCACTGCGCCACCGCGTCGGGCCCTCAAACAACTTTTTAAAAATAAAGACAGATTATATCCTTAGTCTTTGGGGACAGGTGTTTGGTGCAACAGTTAAAATGCCTCTGAGATAGCCACATTGCCTCAGAATGCCTGGTTTGATTCTGGCTCCACTGCCAGTTACAGCTTCCTGGTGCTGTAGGCCCTTGGAGGCAGCAGACAGCAGCTCAAGTGCTTGGTTCCTGGTCAGTTACGATGGAGACCTGATCAAGTGTTAGCTCGCTGGCTCTGGCCTGACCCAGCCCTGGCTGCGGTGGTTCAGGGAATGAAGATTTCTGTCTCTCTTTCTCTGACTGCCTTTCAAATAAAATGAAAACAAATATTTTAAAACATCACACTGCATCTCATAAATATGTGCAATTACTATATCAATTAAAAAATAAAACAGAAAAGAAATTAAAAATTTTCTAAGATTAGGAAAAGGCAAGAATATTCTTAGTCCTTTTTAATTGTACTGGATGTCCTAGCTAAAATTGGTAAAGGAAATAAGGGTCCAGTGCAATGGCCTAGTTGCTGAATCCTAGCCCTGGCTCTGCTCCTGACGCCTTTTCCTTGCTAATATATGTCCTGGGAGGCAGTGGGAAAATGGCTACCAGCCACATGGGGCCCTGCCCGGCCATAGCTGCTGCACACAAGTAGAGAATAAACTTGTAGGGAGGGAGATCTCTCCATCCTTTCCTCTTTTGTATGCCTTTCTGACTTTCCATTAAATAAACTTAAAATATATATTTTTTTAATATAGCACTAGAGGCCCAGCACAGTGGCCTAGTGGCTAAAGTCCTCGCCTTGAACGTGCCAGGATCTCATATGGGCACAAATTCTAATCCCAGAAGCTCCACTTCCCATCTAGTTGTCTGCTTGTGGCCTGGGAAAGCAGTCGAGGACAGCCAAAGGACAGCCCAAAGCCTTGACACCCTGCACCCGCGTGGGAGACCTGAAAGAAACTCCTGGCTCCTGGCTTCGGATCGGCACAGCTCCAGCCACTGCGGTCACTTGGGGAGTGAATCAATGGAGGAAGATCTTCCTCTCTGTCTCTCGTCGTCTCTGTTTATCTGACTTTGCAATAAAAATAAATAAATCTTAAAAAAAAAAGAGAGGGAGGGCCTGGCCTCTTCCGGGCCTCCCACGTGGGTGCAGGGTCCCAAAGCTTTGGGCCGTCCTCGACTGCTTTCCCGGGCCACAGGCAGGGAGCTGGAAGGGAAGTGGAGCTGCCGGGATCAGAACCGGCGCCCATATGGGATCCCGGGTGTGCAAGGCGAGGACCTTAACCACTTGCACCACCGCGCCGGGCCCACCTTTTTTTTTTTTAAGATTTTTTTTTTTAATATATATTTTTTGGAAAGTCAGATTTACAGATAGGAGGGACAAAGCTCTTCCATCCGCTGATTCACTCTCCAAGTCACAGCAATGGCTGGAGCTGGGCTGATCTTAAGGTAGGATCCAGGAGCCTCTTCTAGGTTTCCCACAGGGGTGCAGGGTCCCAATGGTTTAAGCCATCCTCTACTGCTTTCCCAGGCCACAAGCAGGGAGCTGGATAGGAGACAGGGCAGCTGGGATTAGAACCGTTGTCCATATGGGATCCCAGCAAAAGAGGACTTTAGGACTAGGCTACCACACTGGGCCCTCGCGCGCTCTCCTTTTCAAATAAGGAATTAAACGTCAAATAAAGGTAGAATTAAGCAGAATGCACGGTCGCATGCAATCAACGAAGGGAATGGCCCTGACAGGATGGCTGTGAAAGGCAGGAGGGAGCCGGACAGGACGACCCTGAGGTGCATGGCACGGCCAGACAGCCATCTCAGCCTCGGAACCCGGAGGTCTCCGTGTGAGGCCTCCACCAGCCCCACTTTCACTTTCAGTCTCTCTTCAGACCTAGACCCAAAGCTCGGAGCCCGTGGACTCAAGCTCTCTGAGGTCTCTTCCAGAAATTTCCATGGCACTTTCCCGGCTAATCAAAGTCCCTGCGGCCTTTGTGGAGTCCCAGGGGAAGACAGCAGGTACAGCAGGGAAGCGCCCTGAGAAAACTGAGGAAAAATGCCCTCCATGGAGGAGCCAGACTTGAAGTTTCCTGGGGCAACCCGAGCTGCTTGATCGCCTCAGGGAAAGGCGAGATGCGCAAAGTTCTGGGAAGCCCCGTGAGACTGTCAGGTATTCCAAGCCCATTTCCGTCGCCCCTTCGGCTCCCTACCCCGCCCCCCAGTCGCCTTGCAGCCCCGCACGCCCCTCGGGTCCCCACCTCTGGTGACTGGCACGCCTCTGACCTGTGGCAGCCCGGGCCTGGATTCGACCGGAGGCCTCGCGTCCCGCCTCGGGGGCCAAATCACGGGCGGCCCCGCCCCCAAGGGCGCCTTTTGACCAATGGGGATGCCGCCCAGGATCCAAGGCCCCGCCCTCTCCCCGCCTCCAGCCAACGGTTTTAACGGTTGGGCCGCAAAGTTTAAAGCCTGGGATTCCCCACGGGTGCCGCCGCCTCGTGCTCACGTACGTGCCCTCCGCGATGTGCCCTCAAACCTTCACAAACTCCGCTGCTCGAGGCAGGCCCTCCTCACGTGGCTCGCTCCACGCCGCTGGCAGTGGGGCAACAGGCTTGTTCTAAAGGGACACTGGGGAGGAGCCGTCCGTGAGGGGACAGCGCCGGCATGGGGTCAACAGGTCAGTGTGTGACTGGGGCTGAGGAGATGTGCGCCGGGGCAGGGCTCCGGAAGCTTCTAGAATAGGAGGTTCAGATTGAGGCCCTGAAGAGAAAGAAGGCAAAAGGCAAGAAAATGGCGCAGGGGTTGGTGGCCTGTTGCGGGGCTGGAATAGCGTAAGGGCAGGGACTGTGGACCGAGGCCAGGGAGATGTAGCTGCTGCTGATGAGAGATGATTCTGAAATCAATGAGACAGGATCGCATTCACACCGTGAAGGAGTATGGTGGAGATGAAATTGGGTGGAGCCCAGGATACACAGGGCCTGCAGGGTAATGGGAAAGCCGACAAAAAAGCCAGAGAAAACTGTCAAGGGAAGGACCCTGGAAGCTCTTGAGAAATCAGCTGTGACACACATGGCTGATGTGTCAGGAAAGATGAGTGAAACTGACATGGGTGACCCTGACAGGAAATGTCTCAGGGATATTAGTAAGGGGGGAAAAAAATCTGGTGTGTGGATTGCAAGGCCAGAAGGAGAGATTCGGTACCTCCATGAGGGGAAAAACTACAGGCAAGAGACAGGAGTGACCAACTGATACAACAGAACAATAGTGGTAAATCTCAAAATAACTACACCGAGTAAAAATCAGACACCAAAGAATACATACAGTGCAGTCCTCCTTATTCTGTAAGGTTCTATTTATGTAGGTTCCGTAACGCACACCATAGCACTGAAGAGCAGAATGGGGTTACCTGAGTGAAACGGAGCCATAGTGAAGGATTAGCAATGGACAGAAGGAAATTTGAGGGTGAGGGTTATGTTAGCTATCTTGATGGTAGCAATATTTCTAGGTGTATTCTACATGTATCTCAGTATCAAAGAGTGAAAAAAAAAGAAAAAGATTGCGGAGTTGAAAACCTATTCTGTCTCTCTCTTGAGACCCTTGCGCTGCTCCCTACATGATTTCTGTAATAAGCTGGCTTGTTTCTGTGCATGCTTTATATTTTTAGTTGATATAGAACATTGTTTTTGCCCATTTGTTTCATTTTATAAATAATATAATTTTCAATTCCCATATGTTAGGATTTATTTATCTGAGGGGCCAGTGCTATAGCTCACCCTGTGGTACCAATATCCCATAAGGGAACTGATTCGTGGGCTGGCAGCTCCACTTCCTATCCAGCTCCCTGCTTGTGGCCTAGGGAAGCAGTCAAGGACGGCCAGGTCCTTGGGACCCTGCACCCACTTGGAAGACACAATAGAGACTCCTGGTTCCTAGCTTCGGATTGGCTCAGTTCCAGCCACTTAGGGAATGAACTAGTAAATGGAGGATCTTTCTCTCTGTCTCTCTTTCTCTCTGTAAATCAGTCTTTCTGATAATAAATAAATAATATATCTGAAAAGCAGAGAGGAAGAGATCTTCCATCTGCTGGTTCACTCTCCAAATAGCCATAATGAGTTTCTTTTTGCCCCATGCCAAAGCCAGGAGCCAGGAACTCTATCTGGGTCTCCTTCACGGGTGACAAGGTCTCAAGCACCTGAGCTATCTTCTGGTGCCTTTTGAAGCACATTAGCAGGGAACTGGATCAGAAGCACCAGCCATACTGGTAGAGAACTCGGCATCAAAAGAGGCAGCTTAACCTTCTGCACTGCAATGATTGCACTTAAATAATATGCTTCATACATCTTTTAAAACTTTTTTAAATTAGTATTTTATTTGAAATAGTTACAGAGAAAGAGGGAGAGACAGAGATCTTCTATCCCAAATGGCCACAGACAGGGCTCTGCTAGGCTAGAGCCAGAAGTTAAAACTTCATCCAGGTCTTTCAGCAGATGGCAGGGGTCTAAGCATTTGTGCCATCCTCTACTGTTCTCCAAGATTTATTAGCAAGGAGCTGGATAGGAAGTGGAGCAGCCAGGACTTGAACTGATGACCATATGAGATTTTTTATGCTGCAGGAAATAATTTAACCTGCCAATGTTGGTCCTTACAACTTGACTTTCTAACATCTTTCTGGATTATTTATGTGAATTAAAATATTTTTAATATATTCATAGTAACCTCCAGTTTTTCATTCTGTGAGTATAGATTATTTTTTAAAGATTTATTTTTATTAGAGAGGCATATCAAATTTAAAAAAAGAAGGAGAAACAGAGAGAAAGATTTTCCATCCTCTGGTTCACTCCCCAAATGGCCAAAATGCCTGGATCTGAGCTGATATGAATCCAGGAACCAGGATCTTCTTGGCCTCCTACAAGAGTGCAGGGTCCCAGGCTCGGTGAGGTAATGGAGCAGCTAAATTTCTTGCGCTGTGCCAGGGTCCCATATGGGCGACAGTTCGTATCCCAGTGGCCCCACTTCCCATCCAGCTCCCTGTTTGCGGTCTGGGAAAGCAGTTGAGGACAGCCTAAAGTCTTGGGACCCTGCACCCGTGTGCAATGGAAGATTTTCCTCTCTGTCTCTCCTCTCTGTATATCTGACTTTCCAATAAAAATAATTAAAAAAAAAAAAAGAGTTCAGGGTCCCAAGACATTGGACAGTCCTCCACTGGTTTCCCAGGCCACAAGCAGGGAATCTAGAAGGAAAATGGAGCAGCCAGGACATGCACTGGCGCTCCTATGGGATCCCAGCGTTTGAAGGTGATGATTTAGCCGTTCAGCCATAGTTTATTTTTGTCATCACTGTCCTATGGGTGAATCCTCAGGATGCTTACAGTTTTTCCAGCCTACACAGGTTGAGTATTCATAACCTGAAAACCGAAAATCTGAAATGTTCCAAGATCCAAAAACTTTTTAAAGTACTGGCGTACCACAAGTGGAACATTTCACACCTGACTCATGATGACAGTTCATAAAACAAAGAAATTTATAAAATTTAGAGCAGGTAATTAGGCTACCAGTGAAGGTACCCATGTTGCATATTGGGGTGCCTAGGTTCAGTTTGTGGCTTCAGCTTCCTGCTAATGCAGACCAGAGAGGTCACAGTGATGCTGCAGGGAATGGGGTCTTTCCACCCTTGTGGAAGGCTGGGTTGCACCTTGCTATTAACTTTAGCCCCGTGCAGCTCCAGCCATTATGGGCTTTTTGGTGAGTGAACCAACCGGGGCCAGATGTCTCTCTTTTCGTCTCTCTGCTTCAGTTTTTTGTTTGTTTGTTTGTTTGTTTGTTTTGTCTCAAATTTTTAATATTTTTATTTGAAAGGCACAGTTACAAAGAGAAGGAGAGGTAGAACAGATTTTCTATTCACTGATTCATTCTTCAGCAACAATGGCCAGAACTGAGGCAATCCAAAACCAAGAGCCAGAAACTTCCTCTGGGTCTCCCACTTGAACACAGGGACCCAAGGACAAGAGCTATCCTTTGTTACCTTCCCAGGCTGTAAGCATGGAGCTGGAATGGAAGTGGAGCAGATGGCACTGCAATTGGTGCCTATATGGGATCCCAGTGCCACAAGTGGAAGCTTTGCTTCCTATGTCACAGCACTGGTCACAAAAGCAAATTTTATATTTAGACTTACCCCCAGGATATCTCTCCTCGTATATGCCAATATTTTAAAGTCTGAAATCTGAAAACACTTTTGTGTTCAAACATATCATATAAGGGATACTCAGCATATATATAAATGCTACAATGAACTTTTTTTTAAAGATTTATTTTTATTATTTTTTTTTTATTGGAAAGGCGGATATACAGAGAGGAGACACAGAGAGGAAGATCTTCCGTCCGATGATTCACTCCCCAAGTGAGCGCAACGGCCGATGCTATGCCAATCCGAAGCCAGGAGGCTCTTCCAGGTCTCCCGCGCGGGTGCAGGGTCCCAAAGCCTTGGGCCGTCCTCGACTGCTTTCCTGGGCCACAGACAGGGAGCTGGAAGGGAAGCGGGGCCACCGGGATAGAACCAGTGCCCATATGGGATCCCGGGCATGCAAGGCGAGGACCTTAACCACTGTACCACCGCGTCGGGCCCACAATGAACATTTTTACACCCATAAATATATGGGAGGATCTCTCTAGACCAATTGCACTAGGCTTTCTGGATATTAGGTTCTCTGCCAATGAAAACCACTGGAGTCTGAGTGTTTCCTGTTATTCAACTTTTTATTTTTATTTATTTATTTTTATTTTATTTTTATTGGAATGTCAGGTTTACAGAGAGAAAGATCTTCCATCCATTGGTTCACTCCCCAAGTGGCTGCAACGGCAGGACCTGTGCCAGTCTGAAATCAGGAGCCCAGAGCCTCTTCTGGGTCTCCCACGCAAGTGCACGATCTCAAGGCTTTGGACTGTCCTCAACTGCTTTCCCAGGCCACAGGCAGGGAGCTGGGTGGGAAACAGGGCCTCCAAGGTTAGAACTGATGTCCATATGGGATCCCAGTGCTTGTAAGGTGGGCCCAAAATAAATACATTTTAAAGGAAAATAAACATTGTGTTTATTTGACAGAGAATTCCCATCTGCTATTTCCTTGAGTACCTGTAACATCTCCCCTCCCACAAGAAGAGACTCAATCTAGGTCTCCCATGTGGATGACGGGAATCAAATAGTCACTTCAGCTGAAGTTTTCAATCGCTTCAAATGGCCAGCATCTTTCGGTTAGTAAATGACATGAAGTGTTCCTGTCCCCATGTCATAAACAGAAGTCAATAATGTGTCCAAGGGATGCTGTCTGACAGCATGATGACAAACATTTGCATGCTCTTCCTTGTATCCCGCAGTTCCACTCTTGGTCCTTCACTGTGTCCCTCGGAGCATCTGTCTGTCCTAATAACCATTCCCAGTCACCATACACTTTAACAGATATATGGGCACAGCTTTATTCTGAAGCTACAGTCTTAGGAGCCATCAATCTCTTTAATGTTTCTTCTGACTCTATGCAATGCTTGCTAAATTTAATTCCTGGTAGAATGGTTACATACATACACACATATCCACATGGATGTATATATGTTTACATATAGATCCCTTGCTAAATCAATAGGTGGAATGTCTTCTTGGTCTATTGCTCTGCCTTTTAAGTAGGTGAAAACATTTTTAATGCATAGCTTTAAAAATGCATGGCTTGCCTCAACAATATTCTTCAATATAGTGTTGGCTGCAAGTCCATGTGACTCCACTGTGGAGCCCTATAATGTGCTTACATAAGGGCTCTCCCAGGCTGCTAATGCCAAGATTTATCTCTCATGGAGAAGAAAAAGCAGCACCAAGAAGCCCCAGACTGGGTGCTGCCTCAACAAACAACAGCATTGTGGAGTCACTAGTGCCTTGTCACTAAGCAACAAGAAGCTGACTGTATGTCTCTTTCCTCAGACATAGCCTTAAAAAGACAAGAAGAAAAGTGGACATTTCTGTTCCCTTCCTGGAAAGATGCAAAGTGCTTTAATAGGCTCCTGGGTAAGAGTACACTTTTTTAAAAGATTTATTTATTTTTATTGGAAAGACAGATATACAGAGAGAAGAGACAAAGATCTTCTATCCATTAGTTCCTTCCCCAATAGCTACAATAGCCGGAGCTGAGCTGATCTGAAGTCGGAAGCTAGGAGCCTCTTCCAGGTCTCCCACATGTCCCAAGGCTTTGGGACATCTTCCACTGCTTTCCCAGGCTACAGGCAAGGAAGCTGGATGGGAAATGAAACAGCTGGGAAATGAACCAACACCCACATGGGATGTCAGTGCTTGGAGGTGAAGGGTTAGCCAATTGAGCCATCATGCTGGCCCCAAGAATGCACTTTAGAATAACTTTGGTGCCTAGGGTCGCACCCAAAATCTGCGCAAGTCCTGAGAGGGATGTGAAGAGGTTTCATCCAATATCCAGGCTGCTTGGAGGAGCCCTGAGCTGCCTCTTTCTCCTCTGCTGTTGAGCTCACTCCTGGAGCCTGCCTGACCTTCCTGATAGCCTATCCCCCACAATGTAGCCTGCTCTCACACTAGCCAATTACAGCACTTCATCTGTCCAACACCTCCTTTGCTCCTTGCTCATAGTTCCATTGCCACCTGGCTCTCTACTCTGGGAACATCTTGAGGGCCAAGACTGCCTGTTTCCCATGCCCAGCTCCTGCCTGGAATACAGTTAAGGTCCAGGAAATACTGTTGAACCAACAAAAAGGCAACAAATAATGATTGACAAATGGTAGAAGGATGGATAGTCTTACAGGGATAGAAAGACATAAGACATAAGAAAGACATAAGACCTTCCTAGGCCTGTTAAGTAGCCTCTCGTGATGGCCAGAGGTCAGGCTAAGGATATACGGGTTTTTTTCACTTAGAGTTGTGACTATGGGTGACCGGAGACTGTTATCAGATCTCAAGACAAAGAGGTGAGGCCTTGAGAACTTGCAGGTGTGACTACCCATGGGATGCCCGCCTAATGGCGTCAACAGAGTGGAACTCCCTTCTTGTACCCCTGATGGGGGCACATTTCCATAATCTCCCAGTGCTTTTCTCTGAAGTTCTCTCCAGAAGGCATTCTCTGTTGGTGAAATACTCCTTTTGGAAAGTACATTTCCTTGGAATGACTGTGGGTAGCAAACAGGTGCTCACAACTTTGTCAATAGATGAGGAGGAAGTGGACTTTTGCACTTCAGGGATCTTTGAGCACTGTTAAAATTGTGGGGAGCACAGCAGGGAAGTACCACGTACACTATTAGTGCTTCTCCCCACCCAACCCACCCGCATCACACACATAGCCCTCCCAGGTGGGTCAGCACAGCCGGGACCAACTGTCCCAGTAATAGATGGAAACATCTTTTTGCTAGCCCCTCTCCTCTATATTATTTATATTCTGTCAGGAAGTCCCACAAGGGGATTCTAGTCTGGATTCCTTGGAATCCTCAGATGGGGACCCTGAGATCTGGAACCTAGGACGGGGGTTTGAGTGTGTCTGCCTTCTACCTTCTGCCTTCTTATAGCACAACAGTGGTTTCTACGGGCATTACAGAGGCCAATTCAAGAATGAAAGTGCTAGAGAATACCGCCTTGCAGCCAAGCCCCAGCCTCCAGCAGCATTCCTGCAGCGATGTCAGGTAAAAGGCAACCCCAGGGGAAGTGAAGGTAACGGGGCAACTTCCTGCTTTCCCAGGCACTAAAGGCATCAAACCCAGCCCTCCTCCTGAAGGACTGACACTCAGGACCATCCGATCCCTGGGGAAGCCATGAGGCTTGGCTCTTCTTTCCTGAACTGTCAGATCTTCTCCCTACAGATAGGGCAGAGAAGGGCAGGTGCCAAATTGGACAGACTTGATCACTGCTCCTTCTAGTAACAGGAAGGAAGGACCAGCTGGCTTTGTGACTCAGTGAGTTAAGCTGTCACTTAACGATACAGCTTCCCATGTGTCACTTTAAATCCCAATTGTTCTGTTTCCAGTCTAGTTCCCTGCTAAGGTGCTTGGGAAAGCAGTGAATGCTGCCTGAGAGCTTGGGCTCCCGCCCACCCATAAGATCTCACTGCAGTTCTGGTTCCAACAAACGGACTTTGACTTGGGCCAGTCCATTTGTTGTGGGAATCAGCTAGAAGAGGAAAGATTCTTTCTCTGTTTCTGCCTCTCTGTAACTCTGCCTTTCAAGTAAACAAATAAAGGAAGGAGGAGGAAGGCCAGGGTGCAGATAGAATGTGTAGCTATGGGACAAGAGCCTCTAGAACTCAGGAAGTGAGCCTTGAATTTTGCTAACAACCACCCTTGATGCCTCCAAGCCGCATTGTCCAGCCACAGCTAGCCTCATGGTCCAAGACTTTGACAATGAACCGCAGGCTTCCTTTGGTCAGACAGAGCAGTGGTATAGGAAGAGACTGGGTACTGGTCCACACATTTAGTCACAGAGGATTGGAAGGAGGGATGGCAGAGGGAGCCTAAGGTAGCTTGAAAAAGCTTTTGGACTGGCAAAATCACTTGGTTAATCCTCTGCCTGCAAGCATGAGCATTCCACATGGGTACTGGTATGTGGCCTGGCTGCTCCACTTACATGGAGCAGGCAGTTCTCTGTGTGGGAAAGAAGTGGATGATGACCCAAAGTCTTGGGACTGTGTACCCTCATGGGAGATCCCTAGGGGTCTTCTGGGTTCTGCTCCTGATTGGCTCAGCTGTGGCTATTGTGGCCATTTGCAGAGTGAATCAGCAGATAGAAGATCTTTCTTCAAATCTTCCTTTCCAATAAGAATAAATAGTTATGAAGAAAGAGAGAGAGAGAGAAAGAAAGAAAGAAAGAAGAAGGAAGGGAGGATGGAAGGAGGGAAGGAAGGTAGAAAAAAGACAGAAAGAAAGAAAAGAAAGAAAACTAAGAAAGAAAGCCTGGTGCAGTAGCCTAGTGGCTGAAGTCTTCACCTCACATGTGCCAGGATCCCATATGGGCGCCAATTCATGTCCATCTGTTCCACTTTCCTTCTTGCTACCTGCCCGTGGCCTGGGAAAGTAATGGAGGGTCCAAGGCCTGGGGATCCTGCACCCATGAGGGAGACCTGAGGAAGCCTTCTGGCTCCTGGCTTGAGATTGGCTCAGCTCTATTGCAGCCACTTGGGGAGCAAATCAGTGGATGGAAGATGTTTCTCTCTGCAAATCTGTATTTCCAATAAAAATAAATATTTTTTTAAAAAAAGAAAGAAAAGAAGAAAAGTCTTATTTTTGGGAGAGAGGGAGAGACAGGGCCCAGGTCTTCTACCATTTGCCTAACCAGAGACAAGAAGGAGGCCCTGTGTGTCATCAGCCAGTGTTCCAACCACGAAAGCAAACTCAAACAGAAGGTGAAGGAGTGGATGCAGAAGCTCCTGGGAAAAGGGGCAACAATAGCGCAGTAATTAAATAACCCAGTAACAATAACCCAGTGGTTATTGCTGCTGAGCCTAGAGGGCTAAGTGGGAAGTAGTGTGGTGAGAGCCACACTGAGGGAAGGCTGGGGTCAGAGTCAGGCAGGAGCTGTCCCAAGAGAGCACCAGGACAGGAACTACCACCTCCTTCTTTCCCTCTGTTACCTCCCAGAGCTCCCTGGTGACAAAGGGAGCCCGGTCTTGGGGGCACTCAGTCAGCCTTCCGGGCAAGGATGGGGAGAAGGAAGGGATAGCAGACCGAAGGGGAGCCCAGAATGTGCTTCACTCACTGCACTTTCTGGTTCCCCAGCTTCTGGACAAGTCCTACTGGATTTCCCAAGAAATGCTTTCCCTGATTGAGAGATCCTAGAATCAGCCGTGGGGTGGAACCTGAACTCCTTAGCATTTTCAGTTGCAAGGACCACCTTGCACTTCTTACCAAAGCAGGCCCAAATGTAGTTGTCAAAAATTCATCCATCCAGGGCAACCTCCATCGTGAGAGTGATGGAGTAGGGACAATGCAAGGAAAGAAGTAACTTGTAAGGGCTAGAGTTGTGGCATATGTTAAGACACCAGCAACTGGGTCTGGTGTTTTCACACAGTGGGTAAAACACTGCCTGTAACATGGTATCTATATGAATACTGGTTGGTGTCCTGGCTCTTTCACACTTTTGTTTAAGATTTACTTATTTGAGCCTGGTGCTGTAGCCTAGCAGCTAAAGTTCTCTCCTTGCATGCGCCAAGATCCCACATGGGCACAGATTCTAGTCCTAGTGGCCCCACTTCCCATCCAGTTCCCTGCCTGTGGCCTGGGAAATCTGTCAAGGAAGGCCCAAAACCTTGGGACCGTGCACCTGCATGGGAGACCCAGAAGAGTCTCAGGTCTCCTGGCTTTGGATCAGTGCAACTCCAGCCGTTGCGCTCACTTAGGGAGTGAATCATTGGACGGAAGTTCCTCCTCTGTCTCTCCTCCTCTCTGTATATCTAAATTTCGAATAAAAATAAATCTTTAAAAAAAAGATGTACTAATTTTTATTTGGAAGGCCGATTTTACACACAGAGAAGCAGAAATAGAGAGGAATTTTCTATCCACTGATTCACTCCCACCAAATGGCTACAATCACCAAAGTCGAGCTGGTCTGAAGCTAGAAGCCAGGAGCTTCTTCTGGGTCTCCCATGTAGGTGCAACAGGCCCAATGACTTGGGCCATCTACTGCTGCTTTCCCAGGCCATAAGCAGAGAGCTGGATCAGAAAGGAGCATCCAGAACATGTGCCCACATGGGCTGCCAATGCTTCAGGTGAAGGATAGCATGCCACACTGTTCTTAATCCAGCTCTGCAATTCCTTGCAAGTGGCTGGAAAAGGCAATGAGATGCTCCTTGGGTACTTGGACCTCTATCACTCATATGGGAGATGCAGATGAAGCCCCTGCCTCTTGGCTGCTGGCTTCGGCCTGGCCCAGCCCTGGCAAATTATTGCTGTTTGGGGAATGAATCAAAAGATGATTTTTGTCTCTCAATCTTTGTAACTCTGCTTTCCAAATAAATAAATAAATAGATGTATCTATTTATTTGCAACAGAGAGAGAGATTTTCCATGTACTGATTAACTTTCTGTGTGGCTGCAACAGTCAGGGCTGGGCCAGGCCAAAGCTGGGAGCCAAGAACAACTTCTGGGTCTCCACATGGGTGCAGGGGCATAAACATTTGAGAAATCTTCCACTGCTTTCCAAGGCTCATTAGCAAGCAGGGGGTTAGAGTAGAAGTGGAGCAGCTAGGATACCCATCTGGGATGCCGGCATTGAAGGTAGCAGCTTTTCTTGCTATGCCACAAAGCCAGCCCCCTAACAGACAATATAAAATATTGATTACATTGTATTATGTGACACAGTTTTATAGGTACTGGGTTTCCCTTCACCCCTCCCCTAACCCTCCCCCCATGGTGGATTCCTCCCCCTTGTTGTGTGACCACAGTTCAAACAGATAAATCTTAAAAAAAAAAAAAAAGAAAGAAAGAAAGAAAGAAAGAAAAGGAAAAAAGGCCACCTGGCCCTTCCTGCTGAAAGTCTGCAGCTAGCTTGCAAAGGCAGCTGTCAGCCCAGGGACCAGAGTGGCCTCTGAACCTAATGAACTCATTCCCTCGGCACGGGCATGTGGGAAACGTGTTCTAGCCACTAGTTAAAGTAAAAGTTTCCACAGAAAGAATCTGCAAACATTAGTTGCATCTCCAAATACCAGGCCCGGTGTGTCTCGGGCTCAGGTTGTATAAATGTCAAGTCTCCTGGTTCTTTCGGGAACGTAAAGCTGTTTTAATTAAAGAAGCTGCTCGGAAACTGTGCATGCTGGCCCAGCAGCACGTGCTTTCAGCTGCCTGATGAGGATTTTTTTGCTTAAACCTGTGCAAGATGTGGCATCCATTTTCCTCTGGTGGGAGGAGCAGGGACAGTTTGCCATGACATTGAGATGCAAGAAAACTCCTTTCTCTCCTCCTTCATTTTTTTTCTTCTAAGCCAGGCTAGCTTATCCCAGTTGTCACCTGCTGTAACTCTTGGAAAGTGTAACTTGGTTCCTGTTCATTCCTAAGTGCAGACCAGCATTGCAGACATTCATAGCCACAGTCCTACAACTGCTGAGCCTCGGCTGCTCCCCGAAACCCCAGCCTGCCACACAATGCTCCCCCTTAGCACTCTGCTGACTTCAGACCTGCCAGCGTCTACATGTGGATATTACCCCCTCCCTGAACACTTTACCTCTTATTTAAGGCTCCTTAAGCGGAAAAGCACAACCTTGGCCCCCACATGCCTCGAGACCACTTAGTGGAAAAGGAGCTCCAGTGGCTTAAAAGCGAAGACGTAGGAGCTCATTCTCCTCAGGAGAAGAAAAAGCCCCCAGAGCTGCCGGGGTGGGGAGGAAATGACTGCTCTTCTCACCATACTCCCACAGTGCTGAGAACAAAACTCAAATCAGTGGGAGGCGATAGCTGATCCTGCCACTGCGGGAATAATGAGTTTCCCTGAAGAGGAGCTGCCTCCAACAGCAGAAGCATCCACATTTGGAGCTGCGGGCCATTCTGTGGGCAAGGAGGGCAGGCGTTCGACAAAGTGGTAAAATTGTCATTTAAGATGCCTGTAACCCATATTGAAATATGTGGTGTGAGTCCCAGCTCCTCCACTTCTGATCTAGTCTCCTGGGAGGCAGCAGGTGATGGCTCAAGGACTTGGGTCTCTACCACCCACTTGGGAGTCCCAGTTTGGGTTCCAGGCTCCTGCCATCAGCCTGACCCAACCAAAGTGACACTGCAAAGGGAAGGTCTCTTTCTTTACCCCCTCTGCCTTTTAGATAAAATGAAATTAAATTTAAATACTTTTACAAAGTGGTAAAGACATCTAGGGGACAACTGAACATTTCCTTAGATGCCCCAATTTTTAAAAAGATTTATTTGTTTTTACTGGAAAGGAAGATATACAGAGAGAAAGATCTTCCATCTGCCAATTTATTCCCTAAGCGGCCGCAGTAGCTGGAGCTGAACCAATCCAATGCCAGGAGCCAGAAGCTTCTTCTGAGTCTCCCATGCAGCAGCAGGAGCCCAAGGCTTTGGGGCATCCTCGACTGCTTTCCCAGGCCACAAGCAGGGAGCTGGATGGGAAGTGGAGCAGCTGGGATACACCCATACGGGATCCTGGTGGAAACAAGGTGAGGATTTAGCCAGCAGGCTATCACGCCAGGTCCCTATTGTAATTTTTTTTAGAGTTCCCACTTTTTTTTTTTTAATTGACTTATTTTTATTGGAAAGTCAAGGAGAGAGATTTTCTGTCCATTGATTCACTCCCTAAGTGACCGCAACGGCTAGAGCTGAGCTGATCTGAAGCCAGGAGCCCAGAGCTGCTTCTGAACCTCCCATGTGGGTTCAGGGTCCCAAGGCTTTGGGCAGTCCTTTACTGCTTTCCCAGGTCACAGGCAGAGAGCTGGATGGGAAGTGGAACAGCTGGGATTAGAACCAGCGCCCATATGGGATACCTGCGCGGTCAAGGCAAAGACCCTAACCATTAGGCCACACCGCCGGGCCCTAGAGATGTATTTTTAAAATACATCTCTAGACAAAAAGACAAACACACCAATAGATCTACCATCTGCTAGTTCACTCCCTAAGTGCCTATAACACCTGAGATGGGCCGAGGCTGAAAGCAGACACCCAGCATTGCGTCCAGTTTTCCCCGTGTGAACTGCAAGGGCACAGCTACTGGGCTGTGAGCTCTGCATGTAGTGCCATTAGCAGGACACTGGAGCCAGGATGAGCCGGGCACTCCTCTGCAGGATGTGGACGTTCTGAGCTACATCTTAACCAGTGCCACAAGCACCTGCCCCAGACCTCTCAAAAGCTGCTACCAGCACTGAGATGATTCTAGATTCATAAGCATCTGTAAGACATCAGAAAGATCCCATCTCGGCTCTGTCCAGTTTTTCCAAATGGTAGCTTTTGTTGAAGATATAGTATCTTCAAACAAGCAAAACATTGACACTTAAGCCACATGTCAGCTTGATTCAGTTGTCCTCAGTTTTATTCTTACTGTTCTTCGTGTGTGAGAGGGAGAGAGTTGAGATCTAGAAAATGTTTTCAGCTGTGTAAGTCTGGCCATCACCAGTTTAAATACTGTCCAATATTACAAGAAGCCTTGTATTGTCTTTTTATTACCATACCCATTTGCCTCCCACTCATTCACCCCTCCCCTATTCCTAACCACCGGTATTTCTTCAATTTTTAAAACTGTGCCACTGGGGTATGGCGCAGTAGCCTCGTGGCTTAAGTCCTTGCCTAGCATATGCCAGGATCCCATAAGGGTGCCAGTTCTTATCCCAGCGGTCCTGCTTGCCGTCCAGCTCCCTGCTTGTGACCTGGGAATGCAGTAGAGGATGGACCAAAGTCTTGGGACCCTGCACCCGCACAGGAGACCCAGAGGAGGCTCCAGGCTCTTGGCTTCAGATTGGCACAGCTCCAGCCACTGTGGTCACTTGGAGAATGAATCAACAGACGGAAGATCTTTCCTCTCTGTCTCTCTTCCTCCCAGTATATCTGCCTTTGCAATAAAAATAAAATAAATATTTTGAAAAAGGTATAACCTTTAAAAAATTATTTTTTACCAGTAAGGGCCCAGCACAATAGCCTAGTGGTTAAAAGTCATTACCTTGCATCTGCCAGGATCCCATATGGGCACCAGTTCATATCCTAGCTGTTCCACTTCCCATCCACCTCCCTGCCTATAGCCTGGCAAAGCAGAAAAAGGAAACCCAAAGCCTCAGGAGCCTGCACCCACTTTGGAGATCCTGAAGAAGGTCCCGGCTCCTGGCTTCAGATCAGCTCAGCTCTAGCCATAGCAGATACTTGGGGAGCAAACCAGAGGACAGATCTTTCTGTCTTTCCTTCTCTAAATAAATCTGACTTTCCAATAAAAATAAATAAACATTTTTTGAAAGTGTGCCACTGAAAAAATATGATACTATAGTATGAAATATTTGGAAATTGGCTTTTTTTGCTCAGTATAATTAAACCCAAGCTGTATATATAAATGGGTCATTTCTTTTCCTGACTGAGTGGTAGTCCATGGCACATGTGCCAATTTTGTTGTTTGGTTCTTACAAATTTCTCTGATAGGAATGTTTGTGTACAGATTTGGGTTGTTTATTCTCTGGGATAAATGCTCAGGAGTATGACTTTTTGGGGTCCTATGGCACATTTTTTGCGTGTTTTGCTTTTAAACTTCCAAATTGTTTTCCAGCATGACTGGATCATATGACATGCCCACGAGCAATGCATGAATGATCTGGTTGCCCTGTACTCCTGCCGACATTTGCTATCATCCCCATGTTCAATTTTAGCCGTTCAGATAAATATGTGGTGACATATCGTGTGGCTTAAATTTGCATCTTCCTAATGTTGACTGATATTGAACATCTTTCTATGTATTATTTTCCATCCACATAGCTCTTTTGGTGAAAGGTCTTCACATTATTTGCCTAATTTTTTTGAAGACTTATTTTATTGTTGCTGGAAAGTCAAATATACAGAGAGGGGAGTCAGAAAGATCTTCCATCCATTGACTCACTCCCAAAGCAGCTGCAACAGCCAAAGCTGTGCCAATCTGAAGCCAGCAGCTTGGAGCCTCCTCTGGGTCTCCCAAGCAGGTGCAGGGTCCCAAGGCTATGGGCTGTCCTTAGCTGCTTTCCCAGGCCACAAGCAGGGAGCTGGATTTGACATGGGACCACCAGGATAAGAACTGTCACCCATGTGGAATGCTGGCACATGTAAGGCGAGGAATTTAACCACTAGGCAACAGCACCAGGCTCTGTTTGCCTACTTTCTAATTAGATTGTAGAATTCTTTATATATTCTAATTCCTTGTTGTATATATAATTCATAGATATTTTCTGCAAATCTGTGGCTTTTCATACTCTTTACAAATATTTACACAGACTTTTTAACTAACATTGAGGTTTATTTATATCTCTTGCTTTGGTGGCTCTGTTCAAAATTCTTAAAAATTTTGTTTTTCCAAAAGCTTTTGGTATACATGGAGTTCGTGTTCCAATGGGAGTTGTCAAGCCATAAGTAATATCAGAATACAAAATCAAACAGTATATTCAGCAATGAAAAATGCAGACCTGAGACTGCTGACATCTAGGCCAGGAAAGCCTCTAAGGAGAAAGAAGAGAAGGAATTACCCATGTGTCCAGCAGGAATGGCGGTGGAAGGGCTTGAGTCGGCAGTCCCGGCATGTCTGAGGGCCCATGCGGCCCTGTGGCTGGTGATACAGAAGGACCCAAAGCATGCGGGTCTCGGGCCACTGTGATGACTCTGACCACTAAAAACATGAACTAGTGTGCATTTTGGGCAATTAAAGTGTTATTTGACTTACCAAAAGAATTCTACTGGCTGCTAAGAGGACAACAGATTGGGGAGGCAAGCTTGAAGTAAGGACACTGGGCAGGAATCACCTGCAGTGATTTACCTTGGCTTGGAACCAAGAATGCAGAAGGCAGGCTGAGGAGTGGTCTCATCCTGGCCCCATCCTTTTGATGGGAGTTTCTGGCACATTAGGCTTGGGATAGAAGAGCATCGTGGGGATACTGAGGCGTCTGACAGGACCTAGCTGCATGGTCTGAGCTGGGGGAGGGGTGTTGCTGTGAGTAGACCGTGTGAGGATGATTCAGAGCTCAGACATGTGTTTGGAGATGACATCCCGTTAGGTACTTACGTGGAGACCTCAAGTAGGAGCTTGACTCATGAGTCTGGAGCTCAGGAAGGAATTTGAGCGAAGGACAGACATTTTAGTTTCCAGATGTCTTTCAGGGCCAAGAGCCCGGGTGTGTTGACAGGGCACGTGCATAGAGGGGGAGAAGAGGCCTGGAGCCTTGTTGCGGGCAATCTAAAGGGCTCAGTGTGAAGCCTACACCACCGGCCCCTGATGGCATGATATCTGGTTAGATGCCTCTGCTCTAACCGACCATCAGCTCCAGAAGCTTCTGTTTGAGGGCAAGTTCCAGGATAAGCCATCCCAGGAGAGATGTGTGGCTTTAAGTCGCCCCTGTCCTTTGAGAGTGTTGATAGTTTAGCGGTTCCCGCGTGGTGGAGGCTCCTGGCCGTTTCCCTCCGGTATGGGCCCTGAGACAGTACCCGGAGGATATCACTGTCCCCATGCATCTTGTTTGTCACTGTTTTTCAAGGAGCCGGTACAGCAGCATTTCTTCTCCAAGCATGACAACCGCACATCCTTCGACAAAGTGAGTGTTGGAAAGAATGAAAGCAGCCAGTCCCCTTAGTCTAGGTGGAGGACAGAGAAGGTGGCAGAACAGCTAAGACCTTGGTGGAGGTGGGGTTGAGGGGTGGAGGATGGCTGCTTCTACAGGCAGAGGAGTATCCACCTCCCTCATTGCCATTCTCCTCACATTTCCTACACGGATGCCCTCTGTCAAAGCAGAGCAGGTACATGTAACCTGGTAGGGCTGGGGGAGGCGTCACTGATCCTCCAGATTTCCAAGTTGAACTGGATGGCATCTCTAAGAAAGCAAACAAAGGAGGCCAAGCCTCATGAGGTAGACAGGTTTAATTTGGGGCCCAAGTGGGTGTCTGGTGCCAAGACTGTGGGCCAAGGGCCCGTACCGTTGAGAAGGGTCCTTACTGCCTGCTGCAGGGTATCGGAAGACGGAAAGACCTGCAGCGTCTATGGCAGCGGCACACCTTCCTGCGCTGGGCTCCCTGTGAGCTGGAGCTGAGCAGGCAGCGGCCCCTGGAATCCTCCTACCAGTCTGATTTCCGGACAACCCCTGAACCCTGCAAGCAACCCCAGCGCCTCGTCCACTTTGTGCAGGTCCGTCCCCCACACATCAGTACCACCTACCAACAGAACTTCTGCCAGCCATCCCAGGGTGGCCACTGTGGTAGCCCCAAAGTAGTGACCCAGGCTTCGGTGACAGACACTCTACCTGACCTCCCAGGGGTGCCAAGACGCAGGCTGCTGCAGCACTACATCCACGCGGGGGTCTCAGAATGTTTGGACTGGTCCCGCACATTAAAGGACTACTAACCCAGGATTCTCCTTGAACTCACAGATCCCTAAGGTCAGGGGTGCAGAGCCAGATCCCACAAACGTGCACTATGGCATCTGTATGCTGTGCTGAAGAGGCACTGCCCTTGAAGCTGGCCACTAAGTGAGAGGATCAGGCTGCAGGAGGCCACGAGACCAGCAGGGTTGCTCTTAACACAAAATATGGGGTCCCAGGGACCCAAATACTTGTGGCAAACCTAGCTGTGAACCCTTGGTACTCAGGGTAGCTACAAGCAAAGCAAAACCAAAGGGCAAAGGGCAGCAAAGGCTGGAGGGCAAGGGCAAGGGTTGGCAGTTGCTAACCTTAAGTAGCCACCTGGCCCTGCCCAAGGGATGGTTGCTCCACAGCTGTGACAGAGGGACACTGCCCTGGTCCAGTGGCAGCCTTGGACTATGCATATCTGTATGGGGGTAGGGAAGAAGGGGGAGGAGACGCTGTGTAACTTGGACCTACATGTCATTATATCCCTTGCTGCAGTTTCCCTTTTTTTTTTTTTTTAAGATAATTTATTTTAAAAGCAGAGTAGTGGTGGAGAGAGGAGAGGCACAGAATCTTCCATCCACTGGTTCACTCACCAAATGCCAAAACCTCTCTCTCTGGGTCTCCCACGGGGGTGGTAGGGATCAAGCAAGCACTGAAGCCATCTAGTGTTGCCTTCCCAGGTGCACCAGCCGGAAGCCGGACCAGAAGCAGAGCAGGGATCGTTCCTGGGCTTACACACACTGCAGGCCCTTTGCTTTCTGAGTTCTTCTATCGTCCTCATGGTGCCCCCTAACATCCAGCACAATAGAGAGGAGCAGTTACTCTGGGTCACCTAAGCTAAGACATCAGAGACCAGAATCAAGAAGCATTCCCCCAAGACCCTCGTTCCTGCCAGAGTTGAGGCGCCCCCAAAGAGGTAAGGGGGCAGAGGCTGATGAGTCAGCTTGGGTGTCTACACCAAGAGTCACACAGCAGAGTGGAGCAGGACTTTTACTTACACATCCAAACCCCCTTGGTCCTCACAACAGCCCTGTGAGGTAGGTAGGGCAGGAAGATTTCGCGGCTCCCCATTTACACATGAGGATGCTGAGGCACCGAGAGGTGAAATGACTCGCCCAGTAGTGTCAAGGGCAACCAACCAGCATTCGCTCAGCCCTCTGCTGGTCCCCCCACCCCAGTCTCTCCTCTATTCCCGCTGTGTCCTTCTCCATCTCTGGACACTCCTGGGTCTACAAGCACCCTCATGGCAGGCTGGCAGCTGGACAGGCCAGATCATCTCCCAGACAGGCACTAACCTCACAGGGCCCCAGGCTGGCTCTCCCTTCCCTGCTTCCCAGTTGGACAAAGGACCTACTAGGTTCTAGGGCAAGGACGGAGCTAGGCATGGCCCATGAGTGAATGGTGGTGAAGGTAGGTTGTGAGTACATGTGTGTCCTATATGAAAGACAAAGGTTACCTGAACCCAAGTCCAAGGCCACATTTCAAGTGCCTACTGGCCCACACCTTCCTAGCCAACAGAGCCACAGGGAGCTCCTTTGGCCACCAAAGGAACTGCAGGCACCTGCCGTAGGCACCTGTCCCCCAGCACCCAGCGGCTCCCCTGGATGGCTCTCACCAGGCCTTTAGACTCCATCCCGCAGACACAGTGCCTCCACAGCTTGGCTGGGGCCCTGGGCCACACCCCCAATGACAAACAGCCAGGGCCCAGCCTGCAGGCTAGAACAGGAGCAGCGGGCTGTGGGCATGGCAGGCAATGCCTCCCAGCGCCGCTTTGCGAGACTGAAGCTCTCCGCAGAGCCCAGGGGGCATGGCTGATTTCCTGCAAGAAAAAGAGAAAGTTGTAGGAGCTCTGGCTCCCAGGGACCCAGAGAATGGCCTGGGAGGTATGACCACAGACTGAGCAACAGATTAGCTGATGTTCTATTTGTTCACTTAGCCCTGCATTCAGGGGTCTGTTGGGGAACTCCAGCGGGGCCAGGCCAACATCCCACCCCCAACTACCTACTTACCCAGGCCCCCAATGGCCACAATGTGGCCCCCGAGGCTGCCAACCACAAAGTCAGCCCTCTTGTCCCTCATGCGAAGGCTGCGGGGCAGCTTGGTCCAGGACCCTGCAGGAGAAAGGAAATCAGATACAGCCACACACCATGCCCCTTCACCAGAGGGACAGAAGACCCTGCCACTGCTTACCATGCTCTAGGTCAAACATCTCCACAGTGTTGACAAAGTGGGGGCGGGAGTAGAAATTATGGGGTCCAGGCTGTTGTAGGCCACCTAGGCTAAAGACATTGCCCTCGGCCATGGCGCAGCCAGCAAAGGCCCGACGGCTGGGCAGGCTTGGGTGCCGGGTCCACGTGCGGGTCTCCAGGTCAAACGATTCAAAAGCTGTCACCGGAAGCTTGCCCTGGCGGCCCCCTGTTGATAGAATTGGGGTACCTGAAAGGGTATCCCAGAGGCTGGGTAGCTCCTCAGCCCCATGAGGTTTTTCATCTGCCTGCTTTGGCCTCCTATACCTTGCTGTGTGCACTCCTGTGCAGGAATCATCTACCCCACACGCAATGGCATTGGGCTTTGCAGCCCCCAGAACACACCTAGATCTTCTCTCAAGGATGCTCCCCAAGTCCTGTCATCCCAAACCAAGCCTGGTCCCTAACCCAGCCAACCCATGGGTGTGCAGACCTCTGGGCTCCCAGCTGGGCTGCTCTCCGACACCCCCCATCCCTTACCCAGGACGTAGATCTTGTTCCCGTGGAGGAAGGTGGAGGCTCCATAGCAGGGTGTGGGCATGGAGGGTAAGGAAAGCCAGCAGTCCCTGCGTGGCTCATATACCCGTACCTGGGCCTGGGGGGCCGTGTCAGGACCCATCCCCCCCAGGGCATATACCAGACCATCTGTACAGAAAAAGAGGGAAAAAAAGAGTAGTTTAGATTAAACCGCAGTCTGGCCCAAGCCATCCATTCTTGCCTGAGAGTCAGACATCCATATGTCTGCTGGTCTGGAGTCAGGGGCTGGACTAGCTGGGACTCCCCCCTCTGGCCAGGGCCCCTCACAGTGAAGAGCAGCAGGCAGCTGATCTAATTATAATCCATCTCCGTCTCCCTGGAGATGCTATGGCAACCAAGTCTGGCATCCAAGCACGGCTGACCTGGACCTGTGGTCGGACCTAGAGGCCACAGGTGGTGGTGGGGAGGAGGACGGGGGGACTGCTGAGGAGGAAAAGGCTGGGCTAGGGGAATGGCTTCCGCCAGGGCTGAGGAGCCTAGGAGGATCTGCTCAGCATGGAGCTCAGTCTAGGGTGGGGGCCTTGGGATCAGCTGGCAGTGGCACTGGGGCTTGAGTGTGCAGGGCTGAGGCACTGGCCACAAACCTTCCGGCCCAGAAGTCCTCCCAGCGTCCCTCCACCACACCCTTTCACCAGAGTAGGTGTTGCCTTCTGTCAGATTCTCCAGGTCAGCTAGGGGGCATGTCTGGGGGTTTGGGGTGAAGCACTAGTCAGCCAGCGGCTGTCATGACAACCACTCCCTGGTCACAGGCCTTTGTCCACATCAATCAGGATTCCTAGCGTGCATGAGCACGTGTGTGTGTGTGTGTGTGTGTGTGTGTGTGTGTGTGTGTAGGTGGTTGGGGGGAGTCTATGTACTTTCTAGGCTCTAAGCCATGGCCAACTCCCCTCCCCCATTCCAGACTATTTATAGCTATGCAAGTCACTAGGCCACCCCCATCACTTAGAAATGAGGAATGGGCTGGGAGTCAGCTGGGTTTCCTGTCATCCCGGGGCCACCCTGAGCTCTGTCACCCATCTCAGTGCCAGAAAGTAGTCTGCTGCAAATCCGGGGCAGGTTGGAGGGGACACAGGAGGCAAGTCAACAGCTTGGGCACCCAGGCAAAAGCAACCTTTTCTCATCCAACCTTTGGGAGTGAGAGGGAACGCAGGGTGTCAGGGCACTTGACAGACCGTGAGAGGACACTCACCTCTCTCGACAGTCGCAACCCCCATGGCTGCTTGAGGGAGGGTGGCCCGACGCTCCCAGCGGCCCTCGTCCACCAGGTAAGCCTCCACAGCAGCCACTGGGCTCTGGACTTCATCCACACCACCCACCACTAGGACCTGCTTGCCCAGAACCACAGCAGCCCCACCAGCCCTGGCAGTGGGCAAGGGCTCTAGGGCCAGCCATGTGTGTGAGGCCATGTCCAGTGTCTCAGCAGTATCCAAAGGCAGTCCAGTCTGCCCACAGCCCCCCAACACCAGCAGGTGCCCATCCTGGTGTGCCACAGTACCATATACCCGGCAAGTGGGCATAGGGGGGAACACCTGCCACGTGAAGGCCCGGCCACCTCCTGTAGCCATGTCCTTCACTGCCAGTGGTGGGCCATGCCGTCTGCTCAGGCTGTAGGCCTCAGTGCAGGGGCAGCATGGGGGCTCATCTTGATTTCTACCAAGAGGTGCCAGGAGGGAGAGCGTCTACCCCAACCAGGCCTCGCCTTCACCTGCAGGAGAAGGAAAACAGAGGGAGTGTCAGAGCCCCTGGAGAGCAGCCTGCAGCTGAGGTCTGGGTGTGAAAGGGAGGGCGAGGGCCAGGGTTGGCACTGAACTGTGGAGGTTCCCTCCCCACAGGGAGTTAGGGGATAGCAGCATGGGACAGACAGACCCCAGACACCCAGTAGTTGCCTCCTTCCTAGGGAAAACCTCACCAGGGATTCTCTTCCACACTCCCTTTGCCCTAAAAGCCACCTGCAACTTGGTCACATTCAGCCTGAATGGGAGATACAGTGACTAACACAGAACCTGCCATCCGGTACCTTCTTTCCCCACAGCAGTCCACACCCCGTGCTACTGTCCCATCTCTCCTCCCCTTGACTGGCGGGACCCTCACCCTGCTGTTAGGTGCCAGAGACCAGGATACCATGACAACACCCACAGGGTTCAGCCACTCCCACCAGCCCAAGAAAGCCAGAGTCCAACCAGGGTTCCAATTTCCCGCGGGTCCACCATCAGGGTGTGCCCAGGCCAGGGACTTCATTCACCCTGTCTACAAAGAGGGTACACATGTTGAGGAGGTCGTGTAGCACAGGGCTGGAGTGGCATTTCCAGCAGCAGTGGAGCAACTGGGCTCCTAGCTCCCCTCATAGCCCACCGCCCGTCTTCTCCAGTCTCCCTTCTCCCACAAGGGCTGATCCACTCCTGGATCTTTGGCAGGATGGCCTCTTGGACCCAAACTTGCAGGTCGAGGAGATGGTTGGGGAGGGGAGGTGGAGAGAGGAGAGGACAGGGCGGGTCTGGGCGAACGCGTCCCCACACCCCAAACTTCCCCCAGGCTCGGCTTCCGCAGGACTCACCGGCCGGGGTTCTGGTGTCGCTGGGGTGTGGGCCCGCCGTTCCGCCTCCGCTGACGCCGGCTCTGGCTAGGGCAGAAAGCCGGGGCTCCAGCCCGACGAGACTACGGCGAGGATCCGGTACGGGGCGGGGCCCGGAGGGGTCCGCCCCTTATCCCCCCTCGTCCCCGCCTCCCCCAGACTCGGGAAACCTTCCTCCCGCCTTAACCCTGCATTTGCCGCGGCCGGGGCTTGGCATGCCAACCCTCAGTGGTGTACAGAGGTGCCAACGGGCATGCAGACCCTGGGGCCTGCCGGGATGTAGGGCCCGGTCCGGGCGCGGGGAGAAAGGAGGAAACAGCAAGCTGTACAAGTGCATGGCGAGCGGGTGGCACCGAGCCAGGGCCAGCCTGGGTGCGCAGGCCCTGGAGTGGCCCTGCAGATGCTGGGGGGCTGAGGGCAGGCGCCCTCCCCGCCAGCGCTGCTGAGCGCTAAGGAGCACAAAGACCGGCCTCGCAGCGGGCGCCCTCTGGAGGCTGCTTGGGGATGTGGCCTGGGCTCCCTTGCACAGAATAGGGTGCAATGGGTACCTGAAGGCTACTTCAGGGCGGGGTGGGAAAGACCACAGTTGAGACCTCAGGGTATTGCATGTCCTTGGAGGGAAGGGTCGCTCTGACCCGTGGAGATCTAAGAGTCAGAAGCCAGGACCCCTCCCAAATGGATCACTTTGGCCTTAGACCCCAGCATGCTAATAGTCTGTAAGGGGTCAGGCAAGAGTCAACTGGTGTGACAAAGGCCTGAGGCCTGTCGACTTGACTCAGCCTCTGGCCCAGCATACCTTCTAGGTGCTTAGATAAGCTGAGTTTTCCAGGTGGACTCCCCACTACCCGCTTCCACCTGAATACAGGTCAGTTGCTGGCCTGTGGGAAGAGGTGAGGTAGACAGACAATGTCTGTCTTAGCTTCCCCAGAGCAGACATGGCAACAGAGATACAAGTAGGGTTCATGTGGAAGTACCAGTGGAGGAGAAGCTGTGAGCCAGGGAAGGCAGCCAGCAAAAGTGGCCTCATCCAGCAAGGCACCACCATGGGCCACAAGGACTGACTCCTGGGGATTCTGCAAACTGAGGTACAACAAGGGCCTTGCATGGCGTAAGTGCCACTCCAGGAGCCAGGGAAGCAGAGTCCCCCATCCTCAATTCCTGATGAGCCATTTGAGGGCATTCATGACCTGGCTTGCCTGAGAGAACCTTCAAGCCTCCTGGGGGCCAGCAGAGGACCTATGTAAACATGGTGGTGCCATGGTTGCTTCCAGCTAGAACAGAGCCTGACTGGGAAGCCTCTACCCTCCCACCCTGCTTGCTCCTCACCTGGGGGCTCTCCTTTCCACAACACACCTCAGGCTCAGCCTCTTCAAGGAAGCATCTGCTGTTGTCACAGCCCCACCCCACCTGCACACAGAGAGCCAACTCGGCCAGCAGGTGGAGAAGGTGAAGTTGGACTGGTCCTCATAGTGGACAGCCAGTTCTCAACTATGGACAGGGCCAGAGACAGGGCTCATCCATAGTTAAGGATAGGGAGTGTCAAGTGGAACTTCCTGGTTATGACCCGTGGGAATCTGACCTTTGAGTCCCTACCCAACCCTTCTCTCTGCCAGGGCAAATAGCTGGAACACTCACCCCAGGGCATCAAGAGATTTTTGCGCCCTTTTTTCCTCTTTGCTTTCCCACCACCCTTCCCTTTCCTACTCTGCTGAAATAAAAACCTCCTAAAAAAAAAAAGAGAGAGAGAGAGAGAGACAGAGACTTTTGCCATTCCTGCTGCTTTCTTTGTTGTTGAAAGTAACAAGGCCCTGTGCCAGTGGAGAGGCCCTGGGAACCTCTAAGGGGCACCAATGAGGCCTCAAGCATGCTCAGTGGAGTGACACTTGGCCTTAGATGTTCCCTGACCCCTCTGTGTCTGCAGTTGGAGGATCCCAAGGTCACACAAGGAGGAGAGAGGGCTAGCACCCAGTTCCTAAAAGATATACTCCATCCAGTGACCCTCACGTGATTTCTAAGGTCAAAGTCCAGGAGCTGGGATAACCATTCTGCCCCCTGACTCAACACAAACACCCCTCACTTCCTCATCCACCCAACAGGGGCTCCCATCCAACTGTGGTGTGGAGCTCTTGGTCAGAACTATGGAGACTATCCTCTGAAGCCAGAGAGGGCTGGGGCTAATTTGGACAGGTGTCCTCTGATCTCTGCATACCCTGGGCCCCTCTCTGCTGGCCTCAGAGCAAGGCGAAAAGACACATCCTCCAGCTCCTAGTCCCAGGGGGCCCCTAAGACTGGACATGCGCCAACTCTAAGCATTTGTGGGAGGCCCCAATTCTGAACAAAAGAGGACCTGCCGTACTCAGAGGAAGTATCATTGCTGCCAAAACAAACGAGCCCCCGACCCACCACCAAAAAAAAACAAACGCCTTTGCAACGAACACTCATTCGTGGCCCATTAGGTGTGTGGGCCCAGGACCAACTTTTCTGCTCCTCAGGTTTCCGCACAGTCCCTGAAGGCCACCACCTCCAGGCAGTCCTCCCTAGGATCCCATCGGTCCCATTCCTCTCTGACTTTGGGGGGGGGGGTTGGTGGGTGTAGAAATGGGGTCTTGGAGGGGGTCAAGGGTCACAAGGGCGGACCGGGTCCAGGAAGCGGAAGCGCAAGCGCACTTCCGGCACGCAGCGGGCGGCCATGTTGGAGCGGCGGAGGCGGCGCAGAGGCGCGTCTTGGGTCCCCGCGGCGGCGCCGGTAGGTTGGAGCCGCGGGCCTAGCCGCGCCGCGGAGGTGTGCGGCCCCGCGAGGCGTCCGGGCGGAGGGGCCAGGCGGCGGCCTCTGCCCAGAGCCACGTCCTCCGCCGGCAGTGGCCGCCGAGGTCCTCCCGCCCCACCCCCACCCTGCGCCCAGCGACCCCACCCCGGGGGCTGCGCCGTCCCGGTCGGGCTGGCACCTTCGGTCCGTCACGCACATTTGGCTGCGGTGGGGGCTGCAGGGATGCGACCTCCCAACCCCAGGAGGCCCCCTCCCCCGGTCTGCCTCGACGGCGCCTTCTGCACTCTCGTCTACTTTCCCAGTTGGTCTGGGACGGGGAACGGGAGGGGGAGCGGTGGGAGGTGTGGAGCGGGGAACGTGTGAAGGAAAGTTGGGTGGGGGCCCAGTTACGGCCTGTGTTCCCACAGCCTCTGGAGCGTCCAGCAGACCCCTCCCGAGGGTCCTTGGACCGGTTGGGGCAGGGCAGGGAACGGAGAGTGGTCTCGATAGGGCCCTTCCTGAGTCCACAGCCCTGGGAACTCCAACTCCCTCAACGTAAATAAAGAAATAAATAAAAGAACTAAAGTCACGTGCAAGGATTGTACTTGGAGATTCCCTTCAGGGAGCAGGGGGGCGCCCCAGACACCTAAGGAGCCTAACTGTTTCCAAACAAGGAGTCCCAGGGCGCCTCTCCTCCCCTCCCTCCCGGGTGTTTCCTTGTTCAGACGTCTTGGTCTCCCTTAGGGCCAAAGGAAGAAGTTGCGGAGCCCTGGGAGCCTGGCTGATCTTTTGTGGAATGCCCCTGTGTAGCTAGGGAGTTGCTTACAGAACCCTTCCCAGCCCTCCCGCAGGCTTCCTTCTCTGGGTATCTCCCTGGCTGAGCACATTTTACCTAGCATGCCTTCTGCTCCCATTGTCTTCCCACCTTGGGTTCTTGGTGTGATTGCTTAGAGAACCTGCTGTTGATCAGCTATTTAGTGTCTTTGGAAGAGGCTGGCTTTCTCCCCTCCCTGCTGCTGAAGCATTTGGTCTCCATGACTGCAGACCCAGGAATTGGGCTGCCACTGTAGACCTAGGAAATGGGCTGCCGAGAGGCCTCTCTGGGAAGTGTGGAGGATAGCTTCCTTCCTCCTGCTCACATGCAAGTGCTTGGCACAGAGATGAAACACGGTAGACCTGGACCCTCTGGCCAACACTTCTGACTTTATGTTGCCTCTGGAAGGACCCTGGTTCTCTTTGTAGGCCCATGGCAGAGGATGTGCCATTGTCTGTGGTCTGTTAACATCTAGTCCTTTCACACCCATGGCTCCATCTGGCCTTCCACACTGGGCTCCCAGAGAACAGGGATCATGATTTGCTTTGCCAGGTTGAAATAGAGTGCACCCAACTCCTCCCAGAATTGCTATAAGCCCCCATCTCAAAGAAGCTGCCTGGCCCATAGCCACAGTGATCAAGACCAGGGAGCAACTTCCTGGCCAGATTCTTTCCCCCTGCCCGCAGTATGGTGGAGAACAGGGGTCCTGACTGGCCTTTGAGGGCTCTGGCCCCATGTTTTGGTGTCATTTTTATTGACTCTTTTCCTCTTGCCTTGGAGGTGCTGAGCGCTGGTTTGCAGATACGCAAGCAGATCGGCAGTGCCTAATGCCATGAGCGTGGTGGTGCAGCATGTGGAGGAGAAAGCTGTGCACTCATGGTCGCGCATCTCCACGGCAGGAAAGAAGGCCCTGGAAGAGGCGCTGCTTGTCTTTAACCCCATGAGCCGGGATCTCAGTGCCACAGAGGCCCAGCTCGTGGCCTTCCTGCAGGGCCTGCGAGACGATGGCTTCCAGCCCACCATTCTACGCAGTGGTGATGTCTATGGCTATAGTTCATGCACAGCCAGCCCCCCAAGCCAGACGAAGCTACAGGCTCGTGCCCCCAACCCAGCCACCACAGCACCTCCAGCCAGTACTCCCCAGACTGCTCTGCGGCTGCCTGCAGGCCGGGCTACGCTGCTCCCCATGTCGCTGTCCAGCAGGCTGGCCAAGGCGTCTGCACCAGCCCTCGCCAAGCATGCTACCACCAACCTGCTGCTGAGCTCCCTGAAACAGTCAAGTGCCAGCCGTGCCAGGGGTGCCACAGTGGGCTTCCCTGCCCACCTCTACCCAGGTGTCTACCCTGCAATGCGGCTCTCCGTGGTCCTTGAGGCCCTGGTGCCACTCAAGACTCCCATGCCCTGCTTGGGTACTAAGCACAAGGCACAGTCACTACAGCTCCCCCTTGCGGACTCGCCACTAAAACTGCGGAAAGGTTCAGGGAAGGGTCCTAGGAACCCCCGGCCCAGAGCTCCCAGAAAATCCACAAGCAAGGGCCCCAAGTGTGTGACTCGCAAAGCACCAGGGACCACACCCCAACAAGGCACCAAGCCCCATGGCAAGACCTGCAGAGCCACTGGATCCCTCAGTGGTCTGCGAATGAAAGGGGGCTCTGCCTTAGGCACCAAAACATACCAGG